GGATGCAGCTACCCTATAAAAATTACCGCAAGACAATCGCTCAATCCGCTGCTGAGATATGGGCCTCTCAAAATCATTACTTTTGCAAAACTGCTTGAACACCCTTGACTTTTCACGTGGCACGTGCCACGACGGTCACTGAGATGTATCAAAAGTAGTCAATTACGGGGTAGAAGGGATGGGGCTACCCAGCAAAAAAGACCGCAGGCCAATCGGTCCAGCGGTTGCTGAGATATAAGCCTCTCAAAAGTTTTACAGGCCGGGCCGGGCCGGGCCGCTCATACTGATATTTTTCAGTTATATTGAAAAGACTTCGCTACGCTCGCTGCGCTCGCTCGCTCGTAATAATGGAAAGGTCGCAAGATTGACCTGGCTTTGGTCACCGATATAAACATTCCTAAGACTATGTTAAGGTAAAGGTCATCTGAGGTCAGTTCGGCCAAGTGACCTCAAAATTTTAACACTCACGCCAGGGTGATGCGGTCCAGTTGTGTTGTGACTGATATCGAGTCTCGAGACAATTGGGGGACGTTTTTACGCCCCACCTCTAACTCAGTTCCTTGGCAAAGCAGCGACAAACGGTAAGCGGTGTTCGAAGGAGCGTCAAGATCTTGAACTGCTTATGTCATTTTAGTGCAAGTCAACTATCAGGTCGTGAAAGGCCATTACAGGCATTTTTTGCTGCGATTTTGAGTGACAAATTGTCTCGGTACATAATTTGTTCGTGAGCTAATAAAATCAGAACATTCGCTAGCTCCGTTGAAGGTCGTTAGCTAACACGCCACCATGTTTGGCCTAGGAGCAATTCAGTTTGGCCCCCTTAGGATTAACCCTCGCCCGCACATGCCATTTTCCCATCCTAGAACGCACATGCACTGAAAACTTTTTTACCATTTTCTGAAGGGTAAACCCGCCATAGCATGGTAGCTTGACACACAGACGTTTTTTACCACCTTCCAGATGGTAAATTTTACTCTTTCATGAAGACTAAACTCGCCAGGGAGGGGTAACATGACACACAGACGTTTTTTACCATCTTCTGAATGGTAAACTCTTTTGATTTACTCTTGTCTAGAGTGTAACATTTTTTGGGTTACACTCTTTGAAAGGGTAAATCTTTAACGGAACCCTTTTTTAGGGAGTAACGCATCATCTACTCTGTGCTTTACCCTCCTACAGAGAGTATATTCTTATGGCCTACCCTTTGTCACATGGTAATGTTTACTCTTTCCTTTAGTGTAAACCCCCCAGAGGATGGTAACAGACCCACAGACGCTTCCTTCAGAAGCTTCACGAAGCTTCTGTTAACCGGAGCTCACCAACTAAAAAAAAATGTTTCAAGAGCAACAATGTAGGTATATTTGGCTTCCGTACAAACAATACGAGGGGCACACCAACCATGAACATTGTGAGACTCTTCACTTATTCACACAAATTTATACAAAGCGTTCAGCAATGCACAAGCGGTAAATAAACACCACGATACAACTTGAATGCAATTTGAATATGAATACAAGACATTCAGGCGATTCAGCGCCCTCATATTGGATTAGGCAGAGCGCACAATATTTGAAGTGAGCGACGGCGTTCCTGGGTGGTCGCCCGTCTGCGTGAGATAATGAGACTGGATCACTACAGTGCAAGGCTTTTTCAAAGTCACCAACAAAATGCATAAACTTGTAGCATCACAACAAAATTAATGTACGTACTCACAACACTAGGCCACGTGGCCGTGCACGGGGTCCTGTTAACCAGGTCAAATTAGCACCACTCAACGGCACGCAATGCTCTAGCACATCGGTACTTACAATAAAATGTCCACAGAGGCTCTATAGGCGATGAACAACACACAAGCACAATCACCAACGGCCACGCCGCGCGGCACCGACACTGCTCACATCCGCTCTCGGAGACCAACGGCCGAAAACTGACAGATGCGCGCGGCCTTCAAACCGCAAACGGCCGATCTCGTTTCTGATTGGCTGATTGTTTCCATTTCAAATATCATCTTCACGAGGGTAAACAAGATCCACGCATGAAACGACTATCTGTACCCGAGTCACGATACCCAGGAGGAAAGAGTTTTCGTGATGTTCTGGATCGCGAGAGTAATATTGATATTTACATGGTAATAATACTCTTCGCTGGCGAATAAGTTCATATTAACCACGTACCGTTACTATGCACATAATGGTAGCAGCGAGTTACTCTTTCAATATACTATTATCTTGCGGGTTTGATGAAAATGAACTCTCCAGGAGGTAGTAAAAAAGTTTTGAGTGTGTGGGGGGGGGGGTGGTTGCCACCCCCCCGCGCCATTTCGTTCCTGTTGGAGATAGAGCTTAGCGGTAAAGACCAAAAAGATTCTTTGGCAGAGCTGGGCATTGCGCAACTTAAGTCCGCAACTCCGCAACTCCGCAACTTGCGGACTACCCTCTTGGTAGCGGAGTTACGGATCGGCTACCGAGCCCAAAAAAGTTGCGGAGTTGCGAGTTGCGGAAGCGAAAAATTCTAAAGCGCAACCGCTACCGGGGCCGCCACCGCTGGTGGGGGCGCCACTGTACTCTTTGCACTCCACTGCACACTGCACGTGTTTCCAGGCTAGTTTTTGAAGCTGATTTCGAATTTAATGACCGTTTGAACATTTACGAAGTAGTTTTAGTGCCTTAGTAACATGTTACGAGGCTTTCAGTGGTGGTTGACACTGGATAGGCGGTAGGACGCCTACTGGTTGACCTGACCTGACCTGACCCGACCAGGCCCAAATGCATGAAGACGTCATCTTTGATCAAAACCAACATGAAATTTGTTATCAGCGCCCCCCCAAAAAAGCATAAAAGCTTCACTTTACGAAGTTCTAGCAGGTCCGATTTTCCCGACTTTTGGGTCATTGACCTGGCCTGGAAGGTCAACCAATGACCTATGACCTTAAAATTGGGTATCATCGGCTTCCTCTCGTCACGGGCAACACGCTCGTTTTTTTTCCCGCGAAGCTCTAGCTCGATCAGGGGCCGAACGGCAGGGGGGGAGGGGGTCCAACCGACGTACACGTTAGACGCTGTAAAACACCGCACACAGCGAGGGTTAAGTCAAATTTTATGGTCGCCAGCATGGGGCCGGGGGCGGGGGGGGGGGTGTTTGGACACCCCTCCGTATGGTTTTCCGCAAATATATAAAAAAAGGCGGCGGCAGCGCGGCTGTTTTCGACACTGCTATTAACACATCCTTTCCACACATTGTATCAACATGTCAGACCCAGGTCACCTCAGGTCAGGTCACCAGGTCAAGTCAAGGGACCCAACCTCCGAAAAAAATTTAAACACCCGCCCTAGCAATACAGGGCAATATAGCAATATAGATACACCTATTGACCGATATCACTTTGAGACTGTCTGCATGTGACAAGGGTAACAAGATATAGGTACAAAGTGTATTTTATAAGTCAATGGGAGAAAATACAACTCGTCCGGATTTGCGGCAAAATGATCCCAAACAACTAAAACATGCAAAGAGTAGCACTGGCAGGTCATTTACGTCGACTGGTGTCGCAATGACTTGCGCATTGAGCATTATAGGTCACGTGACGTCATCAGAGGTCACCAACAGTCAGGTCACCAACAGAGGTCAACCAAAGGTACTACCTGTCAGACATAACACTGCACTTCAGGACTAAAACTGATAAAACGTAGGAACCTAATAGAGGTTGGTAGCGGAGTTGCGGAGTTGCGGAGTTGCGAGTTGCGGTTTTACGATCTGCAAAATAGTTTCGGAGTTGCGATTGCGCTTTGGGTACCTTAGGTTGCGGAAGGTAGCGGTAGCGGTTTCCAAATTTCGGTAGCGATGCCCACCTCTGTTCTTTGGGAAGAGACGAATCCAATGATACCCAGTTTTACCTTCTCAGGTCAGTCATTGACCTTCCAGGTCAGGTCAAACTAAAAAATGTTGCTGTTTTGGGTCACCATTGGATATCAAGTGCGCTGCTTATCATATACCGATGACGATGTTGTTTTCTGGTGCCAAGCCAGCTAGAACCTCTTTGTCACACTACCCGACCAGGTTTTTGCTGCTGAGGTCATTTCAGGTCAAGTTAGGTCAAGGTCAATTATATGTGTTTGTATGTCTGTGTGTGTCTGTGTGTATACTGATGTGTGCACCGATTGTTTGTGTGTCCATATTACATGAAATGATGATCTGAGAAGCTTTTACCAAAAATGCAGTCAAAAAACTTCACAAAAAGTAAATTCCGCTTGCCTAAAACGCAATTATCTTAGATGACCTAGGTTGACCTTGACCTTGACCTTGACATCTGTACATCGTCGAACAACATGTTCCATGATAGGTGGGAGGTAAGACTGGCAAAAAAGGCCGAAATCAAGGTGTCAAAAGCTCACAAGGCCCATAGCCAACGCAAGATGTTGAGAATTGGCCATTTGGGTCATGACATGACCTGAAAAACAAGGTCATATCTCCGAAACCAAAAACCACAGAAACTTGAAATTTTCAGGGGACATCAAGAAAGGATAGAGGAGCAGCTATACGAAAAATCAGCCTTCTAGCTCTAAAAATGTTGAGTGCAGAGCAGATACCTGGGGGGGGTGGCAACCCCCCCCCCATGTGCGGGCGAGGGTTAAATGGTCAAAAGGGTTTTTTTTCATCAATCCATGGACACATGCATCTTGTTTTGGTAATTACGATTTTTTTAGATACAGGATTTAAAAATTGCATCCGTGGCCGGTGACTCCACCTAATACTCCTAGGGTCACTATAGGCCGTGAAAAGTCTGCAACATTTTTATTTATTTATTACAAATGACCGATGAACACACGTCACCTGATAATGTAAATTCATTGTGTTGAGCTGACCACATAGCAATTGACTGAAGACATTCAAATTAGGGCATTCCTCGTATGCTAAGCAATACTCTATAGTTCCATTTCGCGAGGCGCTACGTTTTGTCAGCACGAACGACAGCGAGGAGTCAGCGGAGGAGAGGTACTGACCTGCCGGTCGCGGGCCGTCGCCGAATCTGCCCCTGCCAGTGGTCGCTGGGCTCACACCGGGCGTGGTGGGTGGGGGCGTGGCCACTGGCGCGTCCGCCAATCAGACGGCGTCGCAACGCCCGACTCCACCCCGCTGCCGGTGACGCGTCAGCTTCCACGAACGGTGTGATGTATAGGAAGAGGGACAGCTAACAGCCCATAGGTCATGAGAGATGATCAAGATTCGATTGGTCGATGTGCCTCACTTCACGATTTGACCTTCTAGGCAGTGGCGGCGGAACACCTTCAATTAAGGGGGGGGGGGGGGGGGCACTGCCGACTTTTGGTCTCATTCTTTCCATGCAACGCCCAATAGGGCTAATGTTAAAATGCCAAAATCAAAGGGGGGCACGGTGCCCCGGTCCCCTCCCCGTTCCGCCGCCTACGCTTCTAGGAAGCCTCTCTCCTCCAGATAAAATCATAAAACAGCTTTAGATGGCGCTGCACGGCAAGAAAAGAAGCTCAGTCATTTCATTTCCATTTTCAATGAAAAGGTGGCAAAACGGACCTGACCCAGGGTCGCCGATACAGAAAACCAAATAATTAAATGTCGGACTCCAAGTAATTCTTAAGAATTTTAAGACAATCATTCAGTCGGTGTAGCAGACTAGAAACATTTGCGTTTTTCTGAGGTGAGGTCACGGATTGTGACCTGGTGACCTGACCTCTGGGTACATTGAACTATGTAAAGTTGTCGAAAATTCCAGCCAGAGAAAAAATATTCTGATACAGTGTGCCATCGAGGTATTCACAAAAAGCGTATATGCACCAGCAGTTGTTGCGTTGATGGTATGTAAGTACCAGTGATCAACATAAAATGCTCCGATTCCCCGAAATTATCATATTACGGTTGCGATAATGGTTATCATGAAAAGGAGTTTGGATTACGATCAAAATTAGGTATAGGCCATTTTACGAAGCCTAGGATGATAAAATGTAGCCAGCCAGTGAGTCATCAATTGCACTTGGTGGACACATATTCCGATTTCTTATCACGCATATTCCCATTTGCCGTTTAAAAATCGCAGGCAGTTTCAAGTTAGGTAAAAATCGTTTCCCACGGTGCCTCAAAAGTTTTACAGCATCACAATCGCTTGGTTTTAACACATTCTTTAGTATTTTATTCAACAACCAGCATAATCATTGCGAAGCTAGGCGCATTTCTAAACAGGTAGCAACGGCTTGTGACGAAGCTGCACAACGTGTCCACTAAAATTTCTCTCCATGCTTTTTTCGGACGTCGCTCGAGCCTGCTCAAGCTAGTTTAGCTACCTCCTGTTGGTTAAAGCATTTGTTCACAACCGACAATAGTTCTTAAATTGAGTTTAAGTCTAGGAAGCAGCCAGAACATTGGCATTTGTCCGTAAGTCCCTAAAAAGTGTAATGGCATCATTTTTACTGCGTTTTGCGTTGTGTCCTGGTGCTTCACCTTTCGTGAAAAGTGCCCTGACTTTAACCCGCGCCCCAGTGGCGGTCTCAGCCAACTTCGCCCTAGTGGGGGGTGGGGGGGGGGGGGGGGGTGGTGGCATATGTTACCACCCACCTCTAACTAAAAAACTAAGAGGGCTAGAAAGACGCTGTAAAAGCAGTCGATAGCTCTCAATGCGTACGTTTGAAAGTATTTCGGTCATTTTTCATCTTAGAGCAATATTGGGGTCACCAGAGGTCATCAAAGGTCAACATTTGCCAATGGTCATAATATTTTTCAGAAAACATGCCGTTATCTCAGGAACTACGGTAGCTAGAAAAACGCATGGAAAAGCAATCGATAGCTCTTGAACTCTTCTTTTGAAAAGGTCATTATCAAAATTGACCTCAGGTCACGGGTTTAGCCTCCAGAGGGCAAAAACTCCAAAAATAGCTGTTTTTACGAAATGTGTTTTTCGACAATAACTTTCGACAACAAAAAGCCACGACATTTCTATTACCAGAATGGTGTTCCTCTCGCCGAGACGCGTCGAATGAATTATAATTTGACCTTGAAAGGTCAACTTGAAAATTTGACCTCAGGTCAAGGTCATGACCTGACCGGAAAAGGTCATGTTGCATATCACTCGATGCGTCTCGGCAAGACAAACACAATGAGACCATCCCCAGCATTCTATCTCTTTCCAATCGCGAGTTATTGGCAAAAATCTGTTTGTTGCCTCAAATGACCTCGGATGACCTTTCTAGAGGCTATCAGCAAAAATGACACCTTGGTCATCACGGGTGGTCCAAATCATTGTGATTCTGAAATATTTGGACTGTTCCTATGCGTACACACGGATCTAGAGGCATTTTCATTTTTCTCCATTGACTTGTAATGGAAAGGTCACGCCACTGACCTGACCTTAGGTCACGGATATAAAAAATCCGAGATATACAAATTGTAGGCGCCCATAACATCATGCAATCCACCAAGTTTAAAACCTTTCTGACAAACACCGCAGGCTGGACATGATTGCAAACTTTTTTAGGCTTGGTCAGTTAACTTGACCTGGTGACCTGACCTAAAATTTCACACATTGTCAAAAATTGATGTACCAAAAGCTACCCCAAGCGGCGCGGCGCTACGCGCCGCAGTTTTTTATTTACACGCAAAAAACGCGACAGGGCGGTAACATATGCCCCCCCCCCCCCCCCACTGGGGCGAAGGTTAACCCTCGCCGAACCTATTGCTTTTCTACATACGCGCTGGATCTACATATCATCTACATATGCCCCTGATGGAGCTAGAGTGTCGTGGAAAAAACGAGCACGAGCGCGTGCGCCGTTACGAGACGCAGCAACTCGTAACGGAACAAGGGCTCAGTTTCGATATAGATAGCTTCGCAAAAAAAAAAAACGGTCGCAGCGCCGCGATTTTAGCATAGTCGTGTTTGTCTCGCTCAGGCGCGTCAAATGGTACACTTTTTGCTCGGGTGAGGTCAACGTAAGGTGTTGACCTCGAGTCAAGGTCAGGGCAGAGCTTCCCAGCCCACGAAACTGGTCGAATGAGGTCCTATCGCATGGCATTCGATACTGCAGGTGTTTTTGAGTCCACTGGTGGCTTTCCCGACTCGCTAGCTCAATTTGATCGGGCGTTACTGGCGAAAAACTCTCATGATCCTATTGACGTCATAAATGACGTCACGCAAGGTCAACAATGCAAAGGTGAAGCATCGAACCAGAGGTGCACAAACCTTCCTACTTGCCTACAATGTAGGAGACAGGAAAGAGCCGAAGAGGGTAGCCGCGAGACAGATTTCAGTTTGTGTTTTCTGTACAAAAATGACTATAAAAACAGCTAACTGGTAGCAATTGGTCGGTACAATCAGCTGTCAACGGCATTTGGTCATTACATTTCTTTACGTGTCTTCAAAAACAGTTCCTACAAATCTCCTCCATGAGACACCCACGAGACAGTTCCCATTGGATTAACATTGTGTCTCATGAGACACCGTGTAGGTAAAATGTAGGATGAAAAACTGCGAAAGTGGTGGGCATGTTTCGAAAAACGGCGCACAAATTCTTGGGGCGCCTTAACAAAACTCCTGTTCGAAAATGGGTTCTGGTAAAGTTTCGTCAGCTGGTTTCCATAGCAACCGCCATTCGTGGGACAAGCTGACGCCATTTGCTAGCGCGTTGCGTGGTAACCAGCTGGCGGTGTCAGTTGAATTTGAAAGATAATTGTAACAGTGAACAGCTCGCTTCAGTTGCTGTACTGTGCTGTGGATGTGTGTCTTGTGCAGTGTAAGCAAAGTGTATAAGGACTTTCACATTATATTTTGTGATGTGATGGTGTGGTAATAGAAGGTTGTGAGCTCCAAGTGGAGTTAAGGAATTGCCAAAGAAATGAAAACTCTGCATGGGCCGGAAATCTGCAGCCTGCACTTCTATAAACTCTTCATAAGAGGTTCGTGGCAGGGGGCATTTTGGGGAGCGGTTATGGAGGTGCTGGTATGTAGGTAGGTACCCAACCTAATTGGCTTGATGAGAACTGAAACTGAAAGTCAAATGAATTGTGAAATTGCTTTACCTATCCTATCTGATCACTTCTACTTATTTTTTAAATTTTCCATTCATTTTGATTGATAAAGAACAACATTGAAAGATGCTAACATGCAGGTAACTACCTACCTAGCTCTAATGTAAATATGTACCTAATAATTTCCTTCAAAAGAATATATGGCTCTTCAATGTACTGGAGATTTAGTAATTGAAGGCATTTCACTTCATTTTGAACATTACCTAGGTATAACTTCCCTAAACTGCATGACAAATTTCCAATTTCCTTGTTGTAACACCAATAGGTACCACAAACATTCATCTGGGCACAAGGCTCACAACATCAAATTATTCATGTTTTATAGACAGGTACCTATACAGCAAAAATGCAACAGATATGTGATTATTTTAAACATAGGCTTTGTGTTCAGTTGTGTATATAATAATTTTGTGGGTGGAAAATGTGTCATGAATTGTCTACAGGTCTGTGTAGAATTGTAATTAATATGATTATAGAAAAAGGAATGGTCAGTTAAGTAGTCAACATGTTTACTCAATAACAAGATATGCTGGCATGGAGTTTGCTCATGAGCTTGCTCAAAAACCTTTCAGTTAGTGTGGGAAGCATAGCAATTTGAAGCATATGCTTATAAAGCTGATTTGTAATGGGGTTTGTGAAGTTCTCCATAAATTTCACACCTAGCAATGTACCTACCTAATGCAGTGCATTACTTTAAAAAGAGGGAGACCATACAAGTTGTCAGGTAGGTAGGCTTTGACATTGATTTCAAGATTTCAAGGTGATCTGTGCTTTTTGCTTATAACTTGTCCTCATTCTCTGACTAAAGGAGTGGCAATACAATCTGACTTGTTCTATTTTCCTCTTGCCTTGCCATTTTTGACATAATCCTTGCCCAGGCTATATGTTGGTATGATGAAGGTCAATCAGATGACATATTTCAAATATTACAGTCATGATTTCAGTTGAATTTGCCTAACTTTATTTAAACAATATAAGATTACACATTGCATAGCTATAACAGCAATATTTGAGCCACCACTGGCATAGAAATTAATAGGTTGCAAAACATTACTCAGGAAGAAGAAATCAGTCATTGACAGTGGAGAAAACACATCTAGACTTGACAACAAATTACAATTGATTATTCTTCTACCATTCATGTTGGCATAAGTAATAATTCAATTGGATACTTAGTGCATTTTTCTAAAGATTTTAAGCACATGAGATCCATCCAAAGGCACAGACTCGGAACAAAGGCTGTGTTATAAACAAGGATATTGCACCTTTTTGGTATCTTAACATGTTGTGATATTCCGACATCCTAAGAAAAATAATATGGTAATCTGCCCTGCTTCATTTGATACGTATCGATGAGTAATTGGATGTTGCGGGAATGCAGTTAGTTTTCCGGCAGGTGTCTCCAGCAGCGACAAAATGGCCGCTTACTTTCTGGCAAACATTTGCTTTCATATGGCTAAGTACATTAATTTCACTTAGTCTAACTTTGTCTAGCAAATCTCCAGTTTTACTTCGGAAAAACCGGCAGCGTGTTCCACATTGGTGACCCCGCCAGGCGAGGCAGTTCCGTCGGCCGTCGATGTCCTTCGGTCATATATCCCCCAATAAAACTAGCGCGTCGAACGATCGGCAGCATGGATGGTCTCACACCATCCATGGCAGGGACCGACCTCACAGAGCCACGCAGAAAACAGGAATATCGGATTTATCTGCCTCTAAACTGTAATGTATGAATGCGTATTAGTATCTGTATTAGCGAAGAGATTAGCGATGCACGCACGTGAAATGTGTATAGATTGCAGTATAGATGTAGTCAGCGATGGATTATAAAAGGATTTAAAGCCGCTTCTTAAAGCCTACAGTCAAAACGTTTTCTGAACGTTTGTGGTCCTCAATATGATAGGTATTCCATAGCAATTTAATGGGCTTCGTCCCATTAGCAAATATTGCAAAATCGTCCTCAAATAATGTTTTCTTACCTATATGAAGTAATGTTGATCCAGGAAAAAACTTGTTACACACTCCTTAAAGCTTCATATTCCTAAACAGAAACACTGATGTGCACCGTACACTGCAGCGTTACGTCACTTCACCTTCAGCCCGCCAAGTAGTAACTGCCCCACTAAACGGGAGAGGGACGCTATGGGACGGCAGATGGACGCCCGTCTGGTCCATGTGGAACTGAACCCTCATTGGATGAGAGGAATTAATTGAGCGTCCCGGTGGTTTTATGAGGGTAGTTCTTGACTTTCCAGTGTTTCCAGACACAGTCAACAACCAGACCGCCTCACTCTAGTCTATTTATACACCACCAGTATGCATTTCAGGTGGAGGTGTACCAAGTCCTGCCTCGCACTTTGCCCAAATTAGCGCATACCGTATGTCTGTCGGCTTCTTAAAAAATGACGATATATCTGCGGATAGCTTCAGAAATAAAAACATTTCAGGAATAGCGTTTACGTCCTGTAAATATCAATAACTGTAATGTAAATAACCAGCTTTACTTGAAAGTATAGATATGTTGGGATATACCTAAGGATGATCGGTGAGACAAACCGGAGCCATCGGAGACCGTGTAGGAGACAGGCTGGGCTATTTGTGCACCTCTGCATCGAACCTTGCAAGGAGTGAATGAAATCACGAGTCCGTTAGCTTGAGATAGTATGAGATCGTTCCCGGTGCCAAAATAGCAGCTTTCATTTCTCCCCATTCACTCATAATGGTGAAGTCGCGTGACCGACCTGACCTCACGATTTTTTTAGAAGAATCCGAGATATAGAGGATTCTTCATGGCTCCGAGTGGAAGATCAGGATATCTTTTCCAAGCGGGTTACTGAAAAACCGAGCGACGAAGGAGCGAGGTTTTTCTGTAACACGCGAGGAAAAGATATTCGATCTTCCACGAGTGAGCCATGAGGAATCCTATATCTTTCTATGTTGAGGTTTATTCTTATTTAATTAAATACTATATTTAAATGTATTCATCTATATAAAAAAGATTTAGAGTAGTTTGTTTTTATTTCATAAGTTTCATACATAAACAGCCATTAAAATGCCGTTCGGTTATTGACCCATTATCAGTTGAACTCTTGATTTTTGGCTATGACCCTCGAGACCTTATCTTCGCATCTCAGAGAGATGCAGAGATAACAAATTCTTATCTTTGCATCTCAGAGGAGTGCGAGATAGAAATATCCCTGCACTGTAGACCCAATGGCAAATAAACCTCAACTAGAAAGATATACAAGTTTTGAGGTCTCTAGAGTTTACTACGTCCTGTAAGATTCATCTCCCTGTAAAAGTTCCTCTGGCACTGAGGGCGTTGCGAAGCTGTGACATCTGAGGACCGCGCAGAGGTTCATTTATGTCGTCATAGGGCAGTGACCTGAACTGACCTGAAAATGCTGTAGTGGTGTCATCTTGTGACACTGTCACAAGATCCGGTCATCATGAATCAAAGATCAGGTCAGCCAAGTTTCAGCTCTCTATCTCCAGCGTGTTCGGAACTATCGCGAAAAAATATAGTGGGAGGGGCGGCACCCCCTCGGCCGGCAAGAATTAACTCGCCGAGTTTTCTTTCCGAGTTTTCTTTTTCCGAGTTTTTTTTCTTGAGTGACCGCGCCCGTCGTGCTCGCGCGCTCGACTGCTGACATGAATGAGCCTAACAGGTTTTCTAACGAGTTCGCCGTGCAATTTTGGCGCAAACGATCCTGGAGACTCGTGCCACGGTGAATGGCCGGCCGAAATTATATTTGTTTGTCAGTGATTGGGTCGTCGTTGTCAACAAAAACTGGTCCAGTAGTCCCCCAAACTGCTGGCAGCTTAATCCTGCTGAGTCACATCCGTGTTCAGGACCACCTTCCCCCGAGTACAGACCCACGCGTCTCGAATCTTGTGACAGCGTTTCAGAGTGCAGCAGCAGTCGGCAGCCCGAGCCTGGTAATGCGGCACAGCCTACCTTCAGGCGTTTGTCACTAGCGACATCTATGAAGAGAAGCTGAAGCATTAGTTTTGAAACTTGTTACGCGTGACGCTCGCCACCAAACGAAACTGCGGGTTGCTCAAGAACTTGCCAGATAAGCGGTAATCAATGCGTCTCAAGTTGCGTGTTGCGTTACCCTAGTTTGCATAGTTCTCCGAACTTACTATCATCGGATTACATTGTTTTCGACCCTATTCTCTCCCCTGACCTCACTGTCTTCAGTCTTGCTATCCATGGTCTTGCTCTGGGCATCCTGTCTTCCCAAACGAGCAACCGGCGCTTGAGACAGTTACCTGCAACATTTATGGTTACAAAAGAAACCTCACAAAAGACCTCTATCACCAGATGCTCTTATGCTGTAGTGAGTGAAAGGCGACCTACGATAACGGCAAAATGCTTATTGGAAGCTTATCGTTCTCCCAGCTCTAATACATGCAAAGCTGTTGAATAATAACTTTCGACCATCACTGAGTTTGGAAACACGGCGACACTGAACAATGGGCATGATTACTGCAATATGCATCATTGCGTTCACTATGCAAAAAAAAAAACGGGGTGGTTGACTGAACTGCCAGCCGCGATCCAAAATACACAGACATGTTAAATTGCCCATGATGATATTGTGCTTAAAATCCCTGGTATTAACCCTCGCCCTGGCAGGGGGGGGGGGGGTCGATGCGACCCCCTAAGGTTTTTCGAAGATAGCGTAAAAACGGCGGCACAGCCTATGGGGCAACCTTTTTACATATGACCTGAAAATTTCAGGTCCGGGTGACCTTGGGTCAGGTCACCAGGTCAGAAAAACCGGCACAAGGTCATGGTCAAATTTCAATTTTCTTTTTGCACCTCTCCAACTGACAGTTTTGGACTGATTTCTTTCAAACTTTCAGGATGTGCTAAGTTCACCGAGTTGTATAACATATAGCTCGGGTTTTTTGAGGTCACTGACCTGAGGTCAGTTAGAGGTCATTACGTCGTAATGTTAAGCCTATGGAAAAATACTAAATTCGGAAAATACTGGAGATATCCGCTTCGTTCTATCACTTTTGTGCTTTGAAACCACAGTACTTAACAGCAGGTCACTTGGTGCTTCTTTGTTTGGTGTACTTATCCATTGGTCAGGTCAAATGAGGTCAACTGAGGTCAAATGACGTTTTTGCCAATAACTTGGCACGTAATGACGCTAGAGCTTAAAAAATGGTGTCATTGTGTTCCTGATGTTCAGCCGAATCGAATGATATGCGATATGATGCAATTTGGTTAACTTGAACTTAATTACTTAATTAAAGTTTACTTAAAAATTAAGAAAAACTTTAAGTACACTTAAGCAAGCTAAAAAGTATATCATTCGACGCGCCTTGACGTGCTGAGTTCACTGGTGCTTTTCTTTTTGCTCTATCTTAATTAGATCAAAAGTTATAAGCGAAAAACGTTTGACCTGTTTTTAGCGAAATTTTTACATTTATACCCCCAAAAAAACCCCTAAATATTGACCTAGAGCAACCAAATTTGCACAGGGGCGAGAACTCCAGGGGACCCACCTACCTACCAAATTTGGTGTTTCTAGGTGCCATAGGAGCCAATCGCGAGGGGGGGTCGCATCGACCCCCCCCCCCTGCCAGGCCGTTATGAAAAATGCCCTGCCAGGGCGAGGGTTAATGAAGAGGACCATTTACGGCCAGCTAGCACACCTTTTGTCTGTATTATCCAACATAGGCACGATCAAATACAAGAGAGTTTGTCTCTGACACACACACACTACACAGAACAATTATTGAATACTCTGAATTGACTCGTCAATAAAGCCAAAGTAGGTACTCGTATACCATTTCTCACATCAAACCTCTTCCATCAAATCCCATACTTACAGTTCCAACCAGTCACAATGCGAGTTGTGACTGTGACTATAGCAAGTTACCCACGCCACGCATTCCGTTCACAGTATTCATGACTCCTGTTCGATCACTGACGACTCGAGCGCCCCTAGCGGCCACACTGCTATCTATTCCCACCCGTCACTGTTGTAGAGCACCCTGAACCGGTCCTCTATCCGCACATGGTTCATGGGCTTCGTGCGTCCTTTGAGCACCATCGCCGACAGCAGCTTCTTCTCGTCCAGCCAGTTCTCCCGCTTGTTGAGCGCCGCTCCGATGCCAGCCGACTGCTCCTGCGGAACGAGACCAACAACAAAACTGCGTTACGTTCGTCAAACATCTTATTTTTTTTTTTGTCATTAAAAAGTAACAAGCTATCAGGATGTCCTGAAATATCGTTGAAATGAAGTTTCTTTAGACAATCTATCCGAATAACTCGTCGTCAACTATGCTCGCTATATTTTCACTACGAAGTGTTAACCATGTCGAACACAACGGATGAAAAACGTGTGCAAACCTGTATAACTGTATAACCTGTAAAACCTGTATAATAGTGTTGCCTACGATTGCGACTCGCGATCGGCACAACAGCATGCTCGTAGGTCGTAGTTAGAAGAAGTCAATCTCCGAAAACTTCCCGTGATATTTTATTTCCGCATATTATAGGTATGACAGTGAATGATTCACATAAACAATTTGCCCTAAACGGATTAAGAAATAGGTAAATAAGTACAATGGTTCTGTAGTGAAGAAAAGTTCCAAAAGTGCTGACCATCAATAATATGCTAAAACACTGACGATTCCTCACCAAGGTGAGATAAGGATTCCTCAACAGAAGCATATTCCTCTCTTCGATCGCTAACCGCCGCTGCATACGGTCGAGATGGGCGTCTTGTACACGGTGGGGCAGCCGATGTTTCCTGGAAAGAATACATTTATATTGTAAACTGGATATAGGAAATGAAAAATATTATTACCTTCATATATCATTGGAAATTGTTTTACAGATAAGCAAGTATCTAATAAATAAATACTAACTAAACAATAAACACCAAATAGATATTTGGAAATGCTTTACAGATATGTTGTTCACTAGGTTTCCATCAGGTCCAAGCAGCAATTATCTTCTTACCCAGTCCAGATGTTTCCATTGGGCATCTTTTTTCTTAATAATGCCACTGCTAGCCTCATTGTGAAACCTTAACGAAAATGACGAAAATAGCTCTGAAATGAAGAAGAGTGATTTCTGGTTAATATGAATCAGGGCACAGCCCGATAGGTATGGCACAATGCTCTTACATCGTACTTTATCATTCAAGCATATTGCAGGAGGCAAAACTATACAACCTATTGGATTGCATTGCACTTATCGTGGCAAGCCGATCCATCTTAAAACGGCTATTATTGGCTGCCGAGTCAGGTGAAACGAATGAAGTGAGCACAGGATTACACACAACACACACGCGTCACATTTACACGCATATCTACATTCACGCCAAACAAAGCTAGCGTGAAAATCATAATCTGGACCCAAAAATACCTAACAGAAAACTCATCTGCTTCACTTCAAGAAAATCTAGCAGGTCCTAATTTTCCTGACAAATGGAGATCATTGACCTGACCCAAAAGGTCGGCCAATGATCTTAGATCTCAAAATCTATTAGTATCTGCTTCCTCTTGTCACGAGCAATGCGCTCGTTCTTTTCCGCGAGGCTCTATCTCGATCGAGGGTCGAGCGGTTGGGAGGGGGTCCGACCGAACCGAGGTCCGCCGTGCGAAGCATCCGTGCGGGCGGCGGGGAGCCGCCCACAGGTCCCTCTCGAAGAAGGCACCCCGGCACCGCCTACTGGGTTCCACGTGGAGGAGGTGCGAAGCGTCGCCGCCGTGGAGCGCCCTGGGGGCCGCCCACAGGTCCCTCCAGAGCCGATCGGCTACGATCACCCTCCAGAGCCGATCACTGAGTAGCCGATCGGCTACTCAGTGAGGCAGAGGGAGTAAACAACGGGTCTGCCATCTGGCAGACATTCTTCCCCCTGTCTCCCATATATGCCAGCCGCAATGAAAACGCCGGAATCATTTCACACCCGCACATTTAATCTCAATAAACAGTGCTGAGCGCTCTAACAAAAGTGGGTAGTTGCGTAGACGTCTGTCTGCGCATTCTGTGTTTGTTTCATTAGCAACCTTCGAGTGAGATCTCTCCAGGCATGTACAGGTCTCGCGGGTTTTAGTGGTAGGTTTTGCACCTAGAAAATTTAGTGTACGGCTATATCTTCGTCGTCTTAAGCTTTTAAGTGTTGAAGATGCGATCGACTTGTTGGGTAACAAGCTGGCCATGATCGTGTAAAATGACTTCATCGTAGATCGATTAGTTTCTGAGATATAACCGGAAATGTAAAAGTGCAAAACCTACCGCTTAATCTCGAGAGACCTGTACGTCCTGATTCATTATTGCACGCCTGAGCAACTGAACCATTCCTTACACATCTGAGATTTGTAATGCACGCCTGAGGAAGGCTAGCGGAGGCCCTATGCACGCCCAAGATCTCGTTGTCGAAACCTGCCACGTTGTGCAGTCTGGGCAGCCAACTGAAGGCTGGGCAGGTGGCTAGCGGTCGCAGGCCCAGCAGGCAGCCTGGAACATCGCCCCAGCAGGGACGAGCATATGTGTAATTTGTAGGGCAATGCAGGCGGGGCAAAAAGGGAATGGTGTATGTGGAAGGTGTGCAAAGTGTGTAACGGAAGTATGCAAATCGAAATTTAAGTGTCATGTGTGATTGAAAATAAACGAAAAGTGAAAAAAAATCTTGTGCACTCTAACTTTTGGCCATGAGATGTCACAGGAAACAGAAATATTTATAGATAGTTCATATCATCAAGTATCACATGGAAAAGGTACTTTGGACTTTTGAGGTTTTTACTAACCCAAACCACTGAAATAAACAGAGCAGCCTTAATGCAATTAACATTAGCGTCGCCACGGGGGGGGGGGGGCAAGCGGGGCAGCTTGCCCCCCCCCCCCAACCTCGGACCGGGCACCCCCTGAGATCGATACAGATCCGATGAGATTTTGGAGTCGGGAAAAATGGGGGGTACCTTTCTGAGAATGCCTGTAAGGTCAGACTCGGTTGGAGTGTGCAGTTCAAACCAGAATCAGAGTCGCAGTCGCCAAAATCTTCAAGACTCCGACTCCAGACTCGGAAATGTCAATGCTGTGATTCATTCCATGTTCCTAGTTGGTTCTTTATTACATTTTATAGCTGATTTTCATAAGTTTTGGAGTGCTGACACATGATTTTCGTTCAAAGCGGACACGAAATCTATGGGGCATTTCTCGACTCTCGTCAAATGTCTGCGACAGGCTCAAGTACCGTTCAAGTGCCGCAGGGCTCATGAGCTTGCTTTCCACACAGGCTCTTAAGGAGCTCCACTGATGTCTAAGAAGCTTTCAGATGGCCCAAACCGGCCTCTGAGAGTCCCACTAGTGTCCATGTTCTCTGAGGGCCCATACAGGGATCTTATAGGACCTTATACCTACATACGTAGACCTCTGAAGGACCATACGAATCTTTGAGGATGCCTTCGAAAATTTCTGAGAACCTTAACTGGCCTCTGATAGTTCAGCCGAACTTTTGAGGTGACAGACTTTGCTACCCCCAAGCCGGCATCTGAGGGGTCACAACTCACGTGTCCCTCTGAGGGCCACAACACATGTTTCTTATGTCCCTACGTAGGGTCCTTAGGGATTGAACACAGACCCCGACGGTTCACACTTATCCGAGGGCTCTAGGCTCACCCTGGGCCTAGTCTCTTAGCGCCCGCCGCCCACACTGGCTTCTGAGGGCCCCACCTTGGGCTCGGAAAGCCGTAAAGCACCACATACACGTAAATATTTGGGGTGACCCACGCCGATATCCGGGATCCTAAGCAGGCTTCTGAGAGTCCACACTGACACTGAGTGGCCTGAAATGGCCTGCCGCCTGGAAGTTCAAAGCCTATCTCTAAGGGATCCATTGCCGCTATGCCGTGCGTAACTCTTGGCTCCGTTTAACATTTTTTGTTCACGCTTGCAGCGCTTCCCTTCACACGAAAAACGAGAAACTTTTAATTCGCACTCGAGTGAACAAAACACTTCCTCCCACTGGACCAAAGATGAATTACCTACTAATTTAGTTCCGATTCACACTTCCCACATTCGCTCTCAGTCTCCGCCGAATGCCCAACTTCAACTTAGCTACAATTGGCGGCTGGGATAAGCCCTATGCATTTCACGTAAAACCTCTTCATGCATGCGTGAATGGAGATTTTAGCAGGGTGATCCGATTAAATGGAGCGTTTTTCACCTATGTTTCTGGGTAATGATCATTAATGACGAGTCTGCACAGGGGCCCTCTGCAGTGCGTCGACAATTGCAGCTACTGTAATTCTACCGGTCATTTTTGTCCACAAATTTCAAAATTTCGATTTTTTTCTGTAAAAATACATGTCATAGGTAGAAGGAAAACTTTGTCACCATCGGCTTCCTTGCACCATTGCGCGTCAAGTGATATGTAAAACGAGTTGGTAACGACTGGGGAAAGGCGATTTCACTGACACAAAAGTTGATTTTGCCCCCCCCCAACCGAAAATCTCTGGCGACGCCTATGGCAATTAACATACCATATCTATATCAATATTATTTCATCAAAAACAACAAAGAAACAAATATATACAGATGCGTCCGTATTTTACATACCTTTCACGGGAGAACTCCAATAGTTTGGTTTGATCGGTCAGATATTACAAGGCTGATTAGTTTTTACAAACGAGACCCAAGGCACTAGGTAGTATCTAGGGGGACCTATAGAAAGGTACGGCGCAATGTCTCAAAAGCGCCATAACCCTCCTAGATTTATTGTCTATTTTATTGCATCAATATTTTTTTGACGTAACAAAAACTTAAGCCTAAGCTTTAAATAATATTTCAAAAGGCTCCATTATTTGAAAAAGTCAATAGTTAAATGATTTTTAATGTGAGTTGAAAAATTGTGTATCCATTTTATTTCAATTTTATTTCAAAGAAGGACGAATGATAACATTTTGAAAAATAACTCTTAAAAGCTGCTGACGTAATTTTCAATATTTTTTTTATCAAATGCTAATAAAAGACAAATTTGTATTTGTATTCAACGCTGGTCGTAAGCACTGTCGTAATGCACCGCTAACAGGAAACCAACAAAACCATTCGTCAATATTCATGTATGAGATTCCGTACAGACACCATCAAACATACAATATTTCAAAATATTTTGTCTTTGTTTTGTATGCTACTGCGGTGGTAACCTCTCTAGGTTTGGCCTGAAGCCTTGGCCTGAATCTTATTTTGAGTTTTAGCAGTTTTTCAGTGGATTTAAAGGTATTAAATATGGCCAGTTAAACACTTTTTTCTTGGCGAGGAACGAGCCAGTGGAAAGTGCACGTACAAATGTAAGTTGATTGTACGAACATGCAAATTGAGACTCAATTTCAAATGCCATGTCAATGTCATCAGTCATGTCAACATATTATGTTGATGTTGATGGGTTTGGGCCGCACTGCGCCCACTTAACAGTGTCCCAAAAGCTGTCAATTTAAGTGTTAATCAACATCCAATGGATCTAAATGAAAATAATTTTACAAACATCCCCAATTTTTAAGAGCAGCTTTTCAGTCTTAAAGGGACCCTCCCACCTTCAAAAATGTTAATGAATTGGCATGAAAGTGATGTCGCTCGGTTCAGAAAGAGCGAAAACGAATATCTACCAAATTTCATCGAAAAATATTCACCGGTTTTCAAGATATTAGACTTTTACTATTGTTTACTTTTGGAGATCTCCGCTGTTCCTAGCAACTTTATTTGAAAGTGCAGCATTTCAGTAGGTGGAACTATGGTCATGAGTACCCAAATATAGGAACGTTCCCATTTTTGGGAACGGAGTTCCCAAATATGGGAACGGGCGTTCCCATTTATGAGAACGGAAGGTAATTTTTCGGCCGTTCGCCCACTAAAACTCATTAGTGCATCACGTCTCAAAAAAGTGCACGCTAATTTACGTATCTACTAAGTCTCTATAAAATTATCTTTAATCTGACCGTTGAACAAGGAAATTGACCGTCGAATGATATTTTTAATGATTTTTGAAACGACGGAATGGTGAAAACATGGGTTATACTACATTTAACATGCAATTTTAAGGAAAATGAAGCGTTTTTTACATTTTGAGGCCAAGTATAATAATTTTCGCCTGGTTATGAAGTTTCATACTAGCGACACCAGATGCTGACATATGCAAGCGAACACGCGGACAGTCCCGAGGTAATATTGTTGACTTTTGGTGTCGGGGCGGACGACCGCGTGGAACGTGAGTGAATTTACCGAACTACTGTTGTAAACTCAGTTTAAGTGGTTGAAAATTATTCAGCTGTATTTTATCAACCCTGAAAGACATATTTTATTTGGATGCTAGCTGTTTAGCGTTGCTTTTAAGGAGCGTCATGAGCGTGGTTTTTGCCTTCAGTATTTTTAAGCACGATCGTTTTGGGGGAATTTCTTTTATGCAGGTCGCCCTGTGTGGCTTATTTATAATTTTTATGCTGATTTTGATCATTTCTCGTGCCCATCCTACCAGGATTTTTGCCACTTACACTCATTAAGAAAGGAAAAAAGTAGATTTATATTGGGACTAGGTGTTTTGAGAGTGAAACATTTCAGCGTTCCCATTTTTGGATACTTACTTGTGCTCGTCAACTATCGGTGATAAACAGACAGGTGCTTGACATGTCTCCACCCTCGGCGCGGACGGTGGATATAGGCATGGAAGACCTTGTTGAACATCGCTGAGCGTTGTGAATTACGTAATCCTGCAGAGGGGGGCGTGCCCGCTGCGAGATCGACGGGAATAAAAGCGCAGAAGACCGGGCGAAACATGCGACGGTCTTGCCGGAAAGGTCATCTGATGATTGTTGCGTTAACAATAATTTGCGGCGTTGGACGTGATGCTTGTTAATGAAAAGAGCCCCTGAAAGGCGTCGGTGAAATCGTTCCCAATTTTGGGTACGCCGTTCCCATAATAAGGAACGCTTGCAGCGCCAGTGTACGAGAGCGTTCCCGAATTTGGGCTCGCGGCCCGGATGATGGACTGCTTTAGAAATAGGGGAACGATTTGAAACTACGATGGGCCTTACAATATCAAACTCTTTCCCAACAATATTGAGACAAATATCAGGCGGTTCACGATCGTTTTATATTTTTTGGACGTCATTTAACGGTTCTTTTTCTTGTTTTAAATAATGCCAACATGGCGTTCCCATATTTGGGTTTATCGTTCCCAAACATGGGAACGAAAATGCGTTCCCGAAAATGGGTACGCTTGACCATAGTTCCGCCTACTGATTTGTTGCGCGCAAAGCAGCATATACCACCGCGTGCTACCAAGCGTTTTAGTAAAAGATTTAAAAATCGTTAGATCTCCGCTGACGTCACAAATTCTAAGGGGGCACACCAATGCATTAGCCCCTTAGAATCCGAAAACTGCAAGTTTGAAATTCCATATCTCCGAATTAAAGCATTTTTCGATGTTGTGAGTGCCCAAACCGGTATTTTCAGGCCATGGCCACCAATTTGGCTATCTCAATTCTCAACTCAAAACTAATGTTAAGGTGGGATGGTCACTTTAACCGTACGAGGACGAAGTGATTGCGTGGGTGTTCATTTACATCCTACAATCAGCGACACTGACACTTAGTTGAACATTAATTCATTGATCTTTTTTTCCACTCTTATTGGGCCTTATCTGACTGGCAATTTGGTGAAAGCCACCTAGTTACAAGCTTGCACCCTTGGGGCTCAATATTGGGCAGTTGTAAAGCAAGGCAGGCGTCACACTTGTTTTTGCAACCGAGGAGAGGTGCTATACCCAGAGATGCTTTCTGATCAAACCAAACAGACCCAACCTTACCTTTGACCTAAAAGCTCCAATCTACAACTTAAAACCTACAACCTACAGCCTAACCTACAATGCCTGTCCTTGGTTGCAAAAAACGAGTGTGACTCCTGCTTTACTTCTACCCAAATTGAATGAAAGGCTCACCAGTGTCTCAGTTCAGTTCCAGATCATTTGACAATCAGTTGACTCAGTTGACACTCAGTTCCAGTTGATGCCCTTTAGTGTAGTATTCATGGTCAGCTTCAAAGCACTGCTCACTGTCCACCATAATCATCTCTGTTAGCTGGAGCTTGCACCTGGGTTGCACGTTTCGATCAGGTCGCCTCAATGCAACCTGTCTTCCATGCTAAGAATTCCAAGGTTGCAGTGGGCTGAAGAGCTGGAGTCAGATTCGGTGTCAGTCGACGGTCGTAGTCGACAATTCTGACCGGAGTCGGAGTCGGAGCCTATTTTGGAAACCGGAGCCAGATTCAGAGTTGGAGTTGAAGTCACCGAAAATGCATCGACTCCGTAGCTTTGCCAGTCTGCGGAGTCAGAGTCGGGAGTTAAAGTCGGTCGGAGTCGACAGTTCTGCCCAAAGTCGGGGTCGGAGTGTGAGTTGGGTTTTGAAAGCTAGAGTTGTAGTCGGAGTCACCGAAAATCCATCGACTCCGCAGCCCTAGCGGTGGCGTTCTGGTTAGGGTAGGCTCCTTAACCCGCGCCCTGTAGGGGGGGGGGGGAGGGATGACACGGCCCAGGCCAGCCCCCTGTCCTTTTCCCTAGATACCTATTAAACTACTGCAGATATCGCCACGAAACTTTCGGGATACCTCTTGGTATAAATCAGGGGTCGGCAACCTACGGCCCGCGGGCCGGATCCGGCCCGCGACGATGATCTGACGTACGGCCCACGGCTGGTATCAGCAGCAAACATTGTGTTCCGGGCCGCAGTTCCTTCAGAAATCGACTTTATCATACAAAAGGTACTAGAGTGTGCGTTGGCACAATACAATGGCGTACTTCTTACGCCATCTGATATCTATAGGTGCCCAGCCAGCAATTTGTTTTGGTTCAATTCTGTTTTGCTCCGGCAACTCCGACATGCCAGACTTGAGCGGGTGTAAACGGAACGCCTTTGGAACAGGGGTTTTGGTCGCTATGGCTCTATTCCGGCTAGCCATCTTTCCCGTAGTGCTCCGAAGTTGGTGTGGTTTCGCTACGGCTATAGTGCGGCACCGTTCGGGATTGCTACGGCTATGTCCGGCAGTGTGTCGTATCTGCTGTAGCTTACTGTGGCTGTAGTACGCTTGAGGTACGGCACGACTGGTTTGGCATAAGTCCGGCCACGGCGCTGGTGTGCTACGGGATCTTGTGTCAGCTGTAGTAGAGCCCCTCCCCCCTCCCCTCCCCACACACACACAGCTAGCAATTTGGTTTGACTCGTTATGCCCCGGGAACTCAGACATACCAGATTTGGGCCAGTGTAAACGGACTACCATCGGAACAGGGGTTTGGGTCGATATGGCCCTCTATTCCGGCTAGCCAGCCTTTGCCGTAGCGCTGCGCTCCAAAGTTGGTATGGTTTCGGACCGCCAAATTCGGCTCAAGTCCGGCTGTCTGCCAAGGCGTGCTATCAGCTATGGCTAGCTCCGGCTGTCTCGTAGCTATTCTGGCTTCATGTGGCTGAAGTACGGTTGAGGTAAGGCACGGCTGCTACGGCTTACGTCCGTCCGACTGTGGTACGTGCGAGCCCCGGGATCGCATGTCATCTCCAATAAGAGCCCCAGACCCTGGCCGTGCCTCGGCCGCAGTGAGATGCCGCAGCTAGCCAGAGTAAAACCAGATACGGCCCAGGCCCCAGAATTATCTTATTAGCTAAGCCAGACCTTGCCAGTACTTCGGCCGAGTAAAAATGCTGGAGCTAGCCAGAGTAAAACCAGATACAGACCAATTTTGCTAGTTGGGTATCTGATCAGATAATACATACAATGGACAAGACCATTCCTTATCTTTTCAAACTCGCTTTTCTTCAGCCAGAATCTGTGTGAAAAAGGTACGTTTCATCCTATGACAAAAGACAAAACATGTTAGCTGTCACAACTAAAAATTGATTTGTAACGCTTTCATATTTTTCGAAATTTGCGTGTCATTGACGCACATTGGAATTTGGAACCATACTATGCTCCGGCCCGCCGGCTGCTTCTAATCTCATATCCGGCCCGCACCCAAAAAAGGTTGCCGACCTCTGGTATAAATTTTACACATTGTGGCAAAATAAAAAATCCAAAGATTATGATAAGTTCGCCAGATGACGTCAAAATTACGCCATGTTCTGCTATTTTCGACAAAAAGAAAAAAGTTTCGCGGGAAGAGCTGTCATGCCTACAGCTGTAAAGATACAGCAAAGTGTTCAGATAAACAGTTGTAGAATTACCAGTGCTATAAATCTGCAAGTTCGGACTTTTGAATATTTTGGATAAAATAAAAAAGTCGTTTTTTATATTATAGGTATCCCAAAAAATTCAAGAAATAAGTCTCCTCTTAGCTGGCGGGCGGTAGCTTGCTAAGCTCTTGTTTGACCACCATTGAGAGGTTTTCGATCGGGGACAGGTCCGGACTGTTGACAGGCCATGTCCCCTTCTCTCAGAAGCCTGGGGACTTCGCTGAGCACCACTCCGCTGTCTTCCCAGCGTGATGAGCCAGAAATCCTATTGAAGGTTGAGAAGACACATTGACCATGCTTCGTGCTCGTTCGTATCACCATGATAAATAATTGTCCTTTGATTCTTAATTATCTTTGCTGAACTGCGATTTTTATAGCCTATCATATTAACACGCGCACCGACGGGGGGGGGGGGCGGATATCCGCCCCCCCTGAGGGTTTTCGCGAATAGCGGGAAAACCGCGGCGCAAATTTGGTACGACTATTCTCTCATCAATTTTACACATTGTATGCAAGTTTGAACCTCCTAACTTTTAAGGTCAGGTCACCAGGTCACTTTGAATGACCCAACCTCAAGTTACTTTTTTGCAACTTTGTCACCATGCCAAAGCTACAGTAGATGTCGGAGGCCTTTGAAAGTCGCAGGATGTTATAAGGTCATTGGTAGCTACAATTTGTATATCTCGGAATTTTGATATCGATGACCTAAGGTCAGGTCAATTTCTCGACCTCCCCATTATAAGTCAATGGGGGAAAAATCAACTCCCTGTTTTTACCACTAAAACGGGTCGGAATGGCCCCATAAACCATACATGACCTCATACACGATCAACCTTCACTACCATGAGGTCTGTTTTGCTGTTGGGCAGCTGTAAGGTCATGTGACGTCATCAAAGGTCACCAGCGGTTTTTTGACAATAACTCCGTACAGGAACAAGATACAGCCGCGCGGATGGTCTCATTGTGTTCAGCTCGTCAAGGCGCATCGAATGATATACATGATGACCTCGATGTCACGTGACCTGAGGTCAACCTTTGACCTTGACCTTTCGAGGTCAACATATATTTCATTCGATGCGGATTGACGAGAGGATCACGATGATGCCCTTAGTTTGTTCCTATATTGACTAGTTCGAAAGTTATTCGAGAAAAACACCTCTCGCTTTTGAAAGGTGTTCAAAACACCTTTCAAAACAGGCTACGGCTCATTTCAATAAAAATCGACCGAAACCGGACGTAAAATCATGCAGCATACGTAAAATCATGCAGCATACGTAAAATCATGCAGCATACAAAAGAGAGCATATAGTTATTAACAGATTACAAGCTCATCCTTCTGCTCAGTGCTCACCCAGCTAACGCCTCCGCCGGGCGTTTGTTTATCCGTACATTGATCTGTGCTACCTAGTACCTACCTTGAGCGCGGCCATGAGCACGACATTCTCCTCGTCCGGCTCAGGCCAGATGGTGCGCCTCAAAAACAGGAGTTGATCGATCATCGTGATCCTCTCGTCAATCCGCATCGAATGATATATGTGTTGACCTCGAAAGGTCAAGGTCAAATGATGACCTCGAGGTCACGTGACCTGAGGTCAACCTTTGACCTTGACCTTTCGAGGTCAACATATATATCATTCGATGCGGATTGACGAGAGGATCACGATGATGCCCTTAGTTCGGTCCTATATGTATTGACTAGTTCGAAAGTTATTCGAGAAAAACTCTCCATATGTAGCGCCGCCATTTTGACTTTTTTGACCCCTGTGACGTCATCTTTGACCTGACCTGAAAATGACCTCTGTAAAAATTATAGACCTTGTCCGTGCGTATCCCTTGCCGTTTACCGCTTGTCGCTATCTTGCTTCGTTCTCGAGATCTCAGGGGGGGGGGCGGTCATCCGCCCCCCCCCGTCGGTACGAAGTTGGCGCAGACCCCCGTCGGCGCGCGGGTTAATAATAATACAGAGTTATCATATTTTTTATGATAATAATCATATTTATAATATAATAATCATATTTATTACTTATAACATAATTATCATATTTACAATAATATATTAATATACCTATCTAACTTTACTCAAGCACCCTTCGCAGCAAGCATAGAGGATGACTCAAATTTTAAATTTTACAGCTCTGCTCAGTGCTCTCATACTACCTGTGCCCTAAGAAGACACAGACAGTCCATTGAACCAGCTGAAAGTGAGCAGCCATGGCAGCGGTACCGGCCAACTGGCGTGAGGACGAGGTGGTGGTGGGCGCCCTGTTCAGTCCGTTCCGCTCGCGGGAGGTGAACCCGCAGGGGTACGACACCAAGATGGCGTTCTGGCGCCAGGAGCTAGCTGACGTGTGCCGTAAACAGCGTCGGCTGCAGCTCAGCAGGCGCCGACTGGAGGCTGAACATATTGTCGGCTGCCACAGGCCCAGCTGCCTGCGAGAGGTGTTCACTAACCTCAGGCGGTAAGAGAGCGTGACAGATGGCAGTTCTATTCGACTGTCATGAGAGATGCTCGTGAGATTGTCCCTTTTGCAACAATCGGTTTGATGACCCGTTTTATATTTAGTTCGAAACGATAATTGAGATTCAGTTCAATCTGGTTATCATTTGATCAATGTTCAGTGCCTTGGTGTCGTTGGACATGGTTGCCACGTACCTTCTTTCTAGCAGCCAGCGCAATGTACCAGCAGCGCCATTTTCATGGCTTAAACAACAAATTTAACCCTCTCAGTACGCAGTTTTGATCCAGTACGTTGTAGTTTGACCCCGTGATTTCCACGCCCGCAGCACGGGTGAGGCGGTGGCGGTGTCCGAGCTCCGGCACCAGTGTGCGGCCTCCACCGGCTGGGTGGCCTGGGGCACAGAGATGCTCGTCTGGCGGCCGTGCCGCTACTGCTGGGGACTGGCGAGGCGCACCATCTGGCCTGAGCCGGACGAGGAGAACGTCGTGCTCATGGCCGCGCTCAAGGTAGGCATCACAGATGAATGTACGGAAGAAACGCATTGAGGTATTAGCTGGGAAAGCTGGATTAACTTGTTATCTGGTACTATATGCTGTCTTGTGTGATGCATGCCTTTACGGTCGGTTTCCTCGGTTCGCGTCGGTTTTATTCAGATAAGCCACCCTGTTTTGAAGCTCATTTTTATTTCCTGCTGCGTAGTGTCCAATGGCACGCCCGTAAGCCACGCCTCGTCTGTCACTTCAGGAGGCCTCTGACGAGCTGTACTCGCGACACCTGGCGCACCTGGCCGCTGAGCAGCCGGCGGCCGGCGCGCTGATCCTCACGGACCGTCTGCACGCGCTGCACCGTGACCTGCTGGCCAGCCGGTCGGACCTGGAGCTGGCCCTGCTGCAGATGCAGCGCCAGGGTCGCGTCACCGTCACTGAGGTGGACGGACGGCCGGCGGTCAAATTCCGACTGGAAGGGGAGCCCGACCGCAAACCGACTGTCACTGAACTCGAGAAAGGTCGGTACAGGCGAAGTACGGAGTCTAAGGGCGGAACAATGCTCTCGAGCTAATTGAACTAAGATTATGTGCGAAGTATAGGATCCTTTATGTATTGGGTATCAACTGAGTTTGTTCACGGATATTCTTTTTTAGTAATTTGCTTTGAGATCTTTTCTTTTTTAAAGGCAATGTAGAGTCGTTTTTTTTTGCGTCGCGATGTAAACCCAATATTCAAACACTCAATGCTGATTGATTGTACTATCTCTAATTACATTATCTACGTTGTTCCCACTTCCCAGGCGTTCTGCGTCTGACGCTGGTGGAGAGCACACTGCGGGAGCGTGTGGAACAGCTGGAGACCAGTCAGGAGGAGCTGCGAGCCAAGGCCAAGGCGCTGCTCAAAACTGGACAGCGGGAGGCGGTGCGTATCTCCACGAGCCAGCTGAGCTTTTCTTGGGTCGAAAACAAACAAAGCGCATATTTCAGGTAGTAGCGCAGCTAACTTACCAGTCGACTATCCTTAGGCATGTTCTTTTAGCATGGCGCTCGTCAACCGGCGAACAGTTCGGGCGCGTCGTTGTTTGACATCGTGAGCTGTAATTCTGCTTGATTTCATCTGCGACGCCATTTTGCAGGCTAAGAAGCAGCTCCGACAGTGGAAGAAGACCCAGGCGCTGCTGGATAAAAGACAGACTACTCTCGATAACGTCCAGGGAATGCTACACGCCATCGAAGAATCAAAACATAACCGAAAGGTGGGTCTTTAATGCGCTTAAATCAAAGCTGAGTGACGCTGACTCGATAGCTAGTACCTTCCCTTATGCCTGTAAGTATCGGTATGTCGCTTGCAGGCGAGAGTGCTAGAGTGTCCGGTTACGGTGCTGTACTGAGGCGTCATGCGTCCCATCCCTTCCACAGGTGATGGAGGCGCTCTCACGGGGCACGGCCGCCATCAAGGGGGCCTTCGGTGACGTCACGATCGACAAGGTGGACCAGGTGGTGGCTGACTGCCAGGAGGTGGGTGTTGTGGTCATACATATTACGGGCTCAGGTGGTACCGATTCTCAGGCTGGTGCGACCTTTCGAGTTATCTCTGGTATCGCTGTCGTGTTGCGATCTCGCGACGATATTAGTTAGCTAAAAGGCTAATCCGTCCTCGGTCGCTCATGAAAGCTTGAGTTTCACCGGACTGAAAAATGGCGAATCTGGGTCACTGTCTGAAAGGACTTGTGCTTATGTTAAAGGGACCCTCCCACCTTCAAAAAAAGTTTATGAATTGGCATGAAAGTGATGTCGCTCGGTTCAGAAAGAGCGAAAACGAATATCTACTAAATTTCACCGAAAAATATTCACCGGTTTTCAAGATATTAGACTTTTACTTTTGTTTACTTTTTGGGATCTCCGCTGTTCCTAGCGACTTTATTTGGAAGCAATAGTTTGGCAGCTAAAAGTGCGGCACTTGTTGCGCGCAAAGCAGCATATACCACTGCGTGCTACAAAACGTTTTAGTCAAACATTAAAAAATCGTTAGATATCTGCGCTGACGTCACACATTCAGAGGGGTATTCCTATGCATTAGCCCCTCTGAATCAAAATGCTGCAATTTTGAAATTTAATATTTCCGGTTTAAGGCATTTCTCGATGTTGTGAGTGCCGAAACCGGTAATTGTGAGCCAGGGACCCCATTTTGGCTATCTCAACTCAAATCTAATGTTAAGGTGGGAGGGTCCCTTTAACCCATTGTTGTGAATCAATCGTAAATTTGTTTAGCGTGGACATCTGCTGCGACTTTTTGCGTACTTATCTATCTAGTCTTCAGATAACCGTGAATGTGCTTTGAGTGTGAGTCCCTCCAGCCGCGCCCCACCTCCCCACGCTCCAACCCGTCCGTCCCCGTTCCCATCAGATGCTCGAGGACCAGGAGGACATGGACGCTCTGCTGGCACGCCCGATCTCTCCCGGGGACGCTGCTGAGGCTGCTGAGCTCGAGGAGGAGCTCTGTGAGCTGATGGGAGGCACAGCGGCCGCCGCCACGCCCCAGAAGCAGCCGCCGACGCCGCGACAGCGCGGCAGACAGGAGCTGCCGGCCACGCCGCCGCGCGCCGAGCCGAAAGGTAGGCGGATCTGTTGGCGCCTGAGGTAGTTATTAGTCGTCGGTAGACATGAACACCTATGCGTCCTGGCTGTTGTCGCCGCTCAGTGCTGACATAGCTTATATTAGGCAAGAGAGCTAGATTAAATAAATGATCCGTAACTCAACAGTTGACAGTTTTCAGATAAACTTTCATGACTTTCAATTGATGACCGATGTATCTGTCGTTCGCAGAGGTCAGTGACACTGAATGACCTTGGTATTATTAAACGTTGATGTTCGTCGAGTGTTTCATCGTATGATCATTACGACCGGCTGGGAGGTACAATATCTTGCGATTTCGCAATCTTTCTGCTGTATCCTTTCATCATTCCGCTGTGGGCGCGATGAGTCGTGTCGTTCACAGTCGAGAAGAATCCCTTTACTCACAGACCTGTCCTGCCAGCCCCGCCCGCCCATATGTAGACTTGTCCTGTAGTGCCCACCTGTCTCACAGACGCACTGACCCGGCTTGTCTTTTCACAGACCTGCCCAGCCCGCCTACCGTATCTCCTGGCAAGATGTCCGAGGGAAGCAAGACGCCACGCGTCCGCCTGATCGCGCCCACCCTGGAAGTTTGAGGACCGCCGGGCGACGCAACTACGCATAGATGAAGGACCGCAGTGACTGAGGACGGGGGTTGCGCAACTGCTCACGGTTTGAAGACCGCAGTGGGATGCGCAACTGCACAAGGTTTGAGGACCGCAGTCTGTGACTGCAGTCTATCTGTAACTAGGTTTACTGCCAGTAGGACGTCGTCGGCACGCGTCAGATCAAGAAAGCACTGACTCGGCGACTCAGCTGAGTCCAGTCTGACTCTGGGTGGGATATGGGGAGTCTTGAGATATTGTGGAGTCTCGGTGGGACTGTGATACCAAGACACTGCTGAGTATCTTGTGAGTCAATGCCTACGTGATTATGGGATATGCAATCCCGTTGTATTTAAAAGGGAACGTGTATGCCCGGCATCGTACAGTCGGATAGGGGCGAGATTTTGTTTTATCTTGAGTGTTTCATGCCATGGCCAGCCTGGCGAGTGCCTCCCATATATATGTGTTAATCCCCCAACTTTCTTTCCAATGTTGATTTGTACCTCCATGTGAAGTCAACGTTTAATGGTCATTTGCCAAGCAATCGCCAGTTTGCTGCCCGGTTTTGCCCCCCCCCCTCGCCCCCCCCAGTAATTAGTAGGACACGTCGCCTTGATGCACCGAGTACTGACCAACGCACTTTTTCTGTTGACCTCATGTGATCTTTCCAGTGATCTAGCTTGTCAGCGATAAATATCGAAAATCTGCTGCCGATCTCCTGACAAGCAACCAGAGGAGCAATTTTGGGTCATCATTTCGTGATGTGCTCCCATCAAAAACACGCTTGTGGTGCAACAAATGTGCAATGCTTATCTGGAACTTAGTAGACCTTTTCACATTCAATTTCACTTTCACCAATCAGTCATTTGCAGAGACGATTTGCAGAGTTTTGAAACAGTCTGGCAGCGAATGTTATTCGTGCATGTATGCATCGCTATTGCAATTGTATTTAAATACACCTTTGATGTAGTTGGATGTTTTTGGGTGAAGGTGGAAGTATACCGTTTCGATCGTCTCAGTAGTCAGTAGAAACGCGCTCTAACTGCAAACTGTTCGAAATCAAGTCAACGTTCAAAACATCCGCTTGATCATAAAATGCATTTCATCCAGTCACAATCATATAAAGCACCATGTACGTACATTCACAGGATTGTTGAATTCAATTTACGGGAACACACAACCCTTCCTGGGCAACGCTCTTACAAAAATTCATAATAATATTAATCACAATGACAACTCGCCATTGACTGAACACTAGCCTGCCGTGGTTAGTCGGGCATGTCTATCACACGGCATATACAATTATACATGCATCGCCATCACACTTTCACATGAACTGTCAACCCTCCGTCGCCTGCCACGCACTCCCTACCGGTTGAACCCGCGCAGGAACGAGGCCACACTGGCGGCGGCTGTGGAGACGAGTCCAGCGGCCACGCTTGCCGATCCCGGCCCGCCCGGCTCTCCACCGCTGACCACCTCGTGTGGCACCTGCTCCCAGTCGGCGTCCGAGTCGTCCACGGGACTGGGCCGCGCCGCCGCCTCAGCCGCCTCCAGCGGGTCGCTGAAGTCCAGGTCGGCGCGCATCGACTCCTCCATGGAGGCGACGAGCGCGTCCGGAGGGCTGACTGCGCCGCGTCGGCCCAGGTCGCCGCCCAGGAGCAGTGTCAGGTTGTAGGCGGTGCGGCGCGGCTCCAACAGCGCCGCGTCCACACCCGCGTGCAGGCACAGACACACAAGGTTAGCGTTCAGCTTGGCCACGCGGTGGTTGAACTCGCGCTCGGACATCTCGTAGCGACAGAACTCGCTGTAGCATAGCCGGTTGCGCGGCCGGACGTCCATGTAGAAGGCGATGACGTTGAGCAGCTGGGCCGTGTAGGTGAGCGCAGCCGACAGGTTGTGCACGGGACTGACGGAGCCGCTGGTGGGCGCCGGCGTCGGCACCGGCTCCTGGCCGGCGGCCGCCCACACGTGGTAGGCCGAGTAGTCGCCCGAGCCGGGCAGCGTCGGCTCCACGACGCGATACTGCAGCTCGCCGACGGGCTCCAGTTGCACCCAGCGGCCGCGCACGTACGCCAGGCTCTGCGCCTCGGCCAGCGCCGACTCGGTCTCTGTGAGCGCGGCCGGCGGCCGGCCCAGGCCCGGCCGCGGCTGCACCTCCGACACGGGGAACACCACAGACACCAGTTGGCGCACGTTACCGCGCACATTGCCCTTGAGCGCGTGGCGCACGATCTCCAGCCGCTGGCCCAGCCGCTCCGTGCCGACGTGCGACGACTGCTGCCGGTCACGCAGGTCGTTGAGGCGCACCCTCATGCGCGGCTGCCGGTCGCGCATCTGGCGGCTGGCGCGCCGCGAGGCTGCCAGCTGCGCCTGCAGTTGAACAATGCGCGCGCGTCGCTCCGCCAGCGCCGCCTGCAGCAGCTGGACGCGATGGCGCGCGGCCGCCTCTCGCTCGCGCCGCTCCACCTGCCGCCGCTCCGCCGCCGTCGCGTCCTCTACCGCGATGGCGTAGTTGATTATCTCGTGTTTGAGCCGAAACAGCTGCAGCTTTCGGTCGGCGAAGCGCGTCGGGAACTGGTCACGCGAGTGTCCAAAATCACCGGTACGCACACACAAGCGGCAGTAGAAGTTTTTGGCAGTGCGTTCGCACAGCGGACACTTTTCGATTCGGATGAAACTGCGCAGTTCATCCATGGACGTGGAGCCCGACAGTGGCGTCAGGCTCTGACGCACTTCCATGATGGCGTGTATGCTCGACTACTGGACACCAGACGAGACTCACATGTCCCACTTGGACTTTTTGGGCTGGACGTACAGGTTTCCGTCGTCAGCCTCGGCCAGGTAGGTGGTCTTGGTATCCACCTGGGACCGCATGTAGAGGATGTATCCCAGACAGCCGGCCAGCGCGGCACTGCCCAGCACCATCACCACCTTGTTCTGGGAAGCAAACGTGGTTGGTATGAGTAACGGAGCTTCGGCAAACAGAAGCGATTGTCGGAATATCGATAAGATAGGTTATCGGTCATGGGGAACGTCCGAGAAAGTAATACCTTATCGGTAGACGTATTGTGTACACATCGCCATGCTAACCGTATCGGCACCAAACGGCGGGGGTAGCGTTAGCGTGGCATTCCTCTCATAGTGGTAACACACGGTTCGAGTGTATTGGCACATCCAAAAAGTGTTGAACATAACACTATCGCAATTCATCGCATCGCTGGCGGACAGAAAGCTTCCCGCGGGACGAGGCGGACAAAATCCAGGTATGGCAAAGATGACTGTTATTGCTGTTGCGTGCTCTTCCTTCTTCCAAATCATGGCATTACCGCTTGAATTCAAAGACGCGTTTTGCATGGACCGAGCAGAGTAACTACAGTGACAAAGGTAACGATTTACGATAGTGACACTGGCCATCGCACGTATCAGTACATACTCTCATTATAAGTAATGCTCGCCGAAATCATGTCGCAGTGTGCTTTTATTTTCAGTTATCTTCGCACACAAACGAAACGTTCCACTACGCTAATCTTCGTATGTACAAGCCTTCGCCCGCCAATCTACGGCCATCCCAAGTCCCAACACACTGGGACCAAACGACCCTCCGCTATTATATTACTCTCATTCGTCGCATCCACTAACTTACCTATCCGCTAACCCGCTAACCTGGGTCCTGTTTCATGGCCGCTGCTAGCACGCTGCTACCATGCTGCCAGCGCATTTCGCGAGCTGACATCATAGTTCGTGGTCTTGACACTCAATGTTGGAGCGTCCGAGTTTGTTGATGTCTCCATGGAAACCAAATTTGCCACGTACGGTGGCAGCGTGCCAGCAGCGGCCATGAAACACCGCCCTGCTTACGAGTGTGACAAAGGGTCAGGTATTTTCTCTATACCGGGGTCAGGAGTGGACCGCCCCGCTCCCAACCCTTGACCCCCCGAGCCCGACTCCCCCCCCCCCATATCCAACCGTCACGCAGTGGTGTGACGCAGTGTGACCCAAGTAACAAAGTGACGTCTGCCCAGCCCAAGATTCTTAACGATAGGCGCGACATCAATCGGACATCGGCAACGACTCGGTTCACAGTTGGCCGGCCCGCTACGGACACGATCCTGGGCTGGAGAGGACAATATGCAATACCTATGCATACCTATGTATTCCCAGTTAGAGGCCCAGCCGATGTGATTGAGATGGTGAGCCGAAGCCGACATTTCAATATGTTCTGTCTGCCGAGTACCGGGCATATTTTGTTGGGGAATGCAGTTAAGGGGGCAGAGTGGAGGTTGAAGGGGTCACGGGACACGGAAACAGTCCTCCAATGCAGGTTTGTGCATGGAAGGATAGGCCCAGACAAAGCATTACGTGGACAAAGCTTCATATAGAGGATGAATTGCAATGGATGAAATGTTAGACAAAAAGGTTCATAAATAGCAATACTCCCAACTCCCAAGGGCATGTCAAATACTAATGAGGTAAATGTGATATGAAGAAATGCGACAAAAGGGGATGAATATTTATTTGTGGAAAAGCTGTATATGCAATTTGTGTCACAAAAAAAACATATATGGGTCTGGTTATGATCCACCCAAATATATGTTAATAAGGAGTACCTGTCCTCATGGATAAGCTTACTGGCTTGGCATAAAGCTCAAAGTTGACAGCTCTGAAGACATTGGTTGTCCTCAGTTTTCTGATCCCTTCTCCAGGCTGACTGGAACTGGGAGCCTTTTCAGTGTTGTTTGTCATAACCTGTGGAACAAAACAATTAATTAAATCACACCTATCATGAATGGATTTCTAGAGCATTGTTTGTCTATAACATATTTTGCTAAATGACATCACTGATACCAGGTCATATTCGGGTCACAGAGGTCAGGAAATTGAGTGTCACAGTATGAATCCAATTATACTAGGGTCATTAAATACTTATTATGTGATCAATTTTACATTTTAAATTATATGATGTGGGTTAGGGGACTACTGGGGCCATCTAAATACCGAGTTAAAACAAATTTTACATCCATTTTGAGTAGTTTTCTGCTTTTTTGCCATACGTTTGCCAAAAGTAGAACCATTAATCTGAATACTAAAAAGGTTACCAAAGGTTACCAAAGGTTACTATTTACCAAAGTATGCAAGCAAAATGTCAAATACAATAAAAACTTTGACATTAGCTTTTCTGCAGTCTGCACACAAGCACAATGAAATGATTGAAGCAAATTAATCATATAAATTTATGTGAGCAGCATATGAAATAGGTTTGGTATAAGGATAAAAGTATCTTGAGATATGGAATGAATGGCACTAGGTTTCTGACTAATTCATTTCAAGCAGCTTTAACTTGCCCATTCTAGGGAAAGTCTTGCTCTTTTGTTTGGGTAGGTAATTCTTTTTTCTGGCTCAGGCTGATTGTGTTAAACTTGAAATGTAAGGACACCTCATAATTCAAATTCAGCACTGATACAATGGAAGGCTGTATTAGTATGTATGTATCATTTGTCTCATCGTCCATCAAATGGTGGTAGGTACTAGGTAGTAAATCAGGCATCAACTTATTAGGTCAGGTTTGGTTAGGCTTGGTTTGGAGCCTGTTCCAGCACCTCCAGAAACATCCAGAAAGCTCTAGAATTCTCCAGTAAGCATTCCAGTGCCTCCAGTAAGCTCCAGAAAGCTCTAACCAAAGCTCCAGAAACCTCCAGTAGCCTCCAGTCATTTGCACGGTCCACATTTCACTGGAGGTGCACTGGAGGCTCTCGTTTAAGCCACGAGCCGCTGGGAGGGGCGGGCATAAAGTTGCCCCCCTTTACGTTTCGTAGAATATCTCCGAAACCTGATGAGCTACCAATGTGAAACTTGGCATAGCTTTAAATGAATACCTAGGCTATGTTTTAGGAAAGATTGGTGGTTGTAGCACTTAATATGACGGTCACAGTGACGTCATAAAGTTTTGTCGTTTTCCAATATGGATCGCTTCTGATGTCGCTGAGAAACACACATGTGAAATGTGACACACATGTGAAATTACGCATGTAAACAACAGACTTTTGACTTTTGAATTTCTAATCTTTCTTACTAAAATTAAAGCAAATTTTGTTTTTCAAGAGTGAGGCATCATCATTCTTTTGGTATCCCTGACACCAATCTCCAGAAGTCTCCAGATTGTGTTCCTGCGCCTCCAGTAAAACCTCTGGTAGAGCCTCCAGTCAATAATTTCTACTGGAGATGCTGGAACAGGCCCATGGTGATAGAAATAAAGCAGATGTCACACTTATTTTTCCAACCAAGGAGAGGCACTGTAGGTTAAGTTGTAGGTTGTAGGTTTTAGGTGGTAGGTAGGTTTTATGTGGTACTAGGTAGGTTATAGGTTGTAGGTAAGGTTAGGTCAGGTTTGGTTATGCTTGGATTGGTTTGATTAGGAAGCATCTCTGCCTCTGGGTATAGCGCCTCTCCTAGGTTAAAAAACAAGTCTGACACCTGCTTTACGACTTTTGCCCTTGGTTTGGTTTGATTAGAAAGCACCTCTGGGGGTGGACATTCATGGGAGGTAAATAGAGGGCGCGTATTTTGTCTTTGAGACCGCAACACAAATTGTGGCACTTTTTAATAATAGGCATTTCAAAGTCTTGTAGCTTGTAAATTATTGGACTGTGTACGATACAATTTCTAAGCTTTCAAAACATTATTTTTGCTTATTCAGTAAGGCGATCTGTTGCCATTATGAAAATGTGCCCCACGGCCACCTTTCCCGAACGTTAACTCCTCTGGGTATTGCCTCTCCTTGCTTGAAAAAAGAGTGACACCTGCTTTACGACTACCCCCATCGAACACCATCAACATATTATGTCATGAACATGTCATAGATATATCGTGATGGATCCAACTAAGGCTATATGCGTCGTATCGAAATGCACCTTGAACTAGGTATATAAGCCCATTGACCCAACAATTTAATAGACCCAACATAAATTATTTCTAAATGACCAAGGCCATATATATGACTGCTCATACCTTGATTACTTCTATTATTCCATAACCATAGCACACAAATACGAAAAACATTGCGCCGCGTATATATCGTCTCTATTGCCTACTTAAGGTTCACACAAAATAAATCAATCTAGGGAAACGTTAGTGATGTCATAAGACTTCTATCGGCGGACAAAGTTTTGTGTTTGAGTCATGTTTGAGTGCTTTATCAATAATCTGAAATACCTATCATCACTGAAGATACGACTTTAATCAAATTTAAAAATTGAATTAGAACCACTGAAATTTCGCAGTCGTCAATCGAATAAAAGTCTAGCGACCTTTATCAGTAAGTCATCCTCTGACGTCAGTAGTTCGGAAGCCATGGGGGCCCCATCGGCCCCAGGGTATATAGCCTTGGGTATATAGAACAACAACCCGGTTTACATAGCATATTTGACGGGGCCTTAGCTCGTTAATTTGGCGATAATTTCGATGCAGTGGTTTTCGAATATTCAGAGGGGATCATTTTGTAAATTGTTCAGCACCATTGGCATCTTTTGCAACATCACGGACGGAGATATACAAACCCTATGTAAACGCGTCTAACCATGGACGACTGAACAACGGGTACACCAACGACGCGGAAAGCGCCCATTTTACCTGGATGAGTTACATAGAAGTTGATATATTTTTTGAATATGGAAAAAATAGAGTATTCTATTATGACGAGTAAGGGCCGCCCCACACGAGTGCGTTTTTCATGCGGTACGGTTGCGGTGCGGCTGCCGCACGTCAGGATGCGGCACCATGCGGCTACCGTGCGGCTGCCGCACGTCAGACATGCGGCACCATGCGGCTACCGTGCGGCTATCGTACGGCATCTTGCGGCGCCATGCGTCATCCATGCGGCGCGGTGCGGTGTCCATGCGATACGGTGCGGTTTCTTGCCAGGAGTCGCGGCTGACAAGAAAAATAGGTTTTAAATGCAGCAACGTACGCAAAGTTAAACAAATGATGCTTTAACATATCCTCTGTTGAATTCAGAGTCTACCTGACCCTTTTTCATGGTGGATTTTGACTGCTCCTAGCCAAAATATGTCAATCTGTGAGATGCTGTCCACGGTGCCGTGCGTCGCGTTGCGGAAAGTAGAAATGGTTCCTACTTTCCGCAACCCACCGCAAGGTGTCAGCTCATCAGTGTCCACACTCACTTCCGTCACATCGGTAGCCCGTCAATAATATTGACCCTAATCACCACTAGTGGGTAACTTTGAAGCCCCTATTGAACTATCGATCATGAACCGATTACAGACATGCCCGAATATCCAGACCAGTATCGGAATACTCGCAATGCATATGAGAGATGCACCACTATCCGTGTCACTTGCAAAAATGAAGAGGCGTCAGGCTTGTTCGGAGTTCGGACTGCAATAACTAGGCAAATATTGAACCGATTGCGCTGTAACTTGGCATGTCGGTAGACACACACCAACTTTTCATACATCATAATAATGTATGTATCAACCATGATGTCATTATGGTTGGGAAACTACTGCACATGCGCACGTTCAGGGTGCCAGTTTAATATCTTTAGAACGGCTGCGCCCATGACCCTCAATTTGGTATGTACTTTTGGTATGAACTTCGCGAGACCTGCCGAATCGAATGCTATGCGATGTTTTCCTTTGACCAGCTTCGTGACCTGAGCGGCTCTGACCTGAGTGACCTTGACCGGAAATCAACATCCTTAGTTGATCTCACCCAAACAAAAAGTATTTTTGTTTAGGTGTCGACCCATCTGAGCATGGAGAACACAATGGTACAGTCCACAGCAGAAGTAATGTGTGGTTTCAGTCATGGGTATGTTCTGCTTCTGAAGCTTAGGAACGATTAATCAGACTACAATGAAACTTTGAATGTAGCTTATATGTATCGTCACCCTTGAAGCTGCAACTTTAGCTATTGACATCTTCTTTTCGATCACTCCGCATTAAACAATCGCCAGTCAAAGCCAATCGTTGAGATTGGTAAAACCCTACATTACTTTAGCGGTGGGCTGTACTAATATCACGGTTCTGCGACCATTTTTTCCGAAGTTATTTACCAAAAACCGATCCCGTGCCTTGGGTCCCTTGACCTGCCCTCCGAGGTCACTGAGACTTTGGCACCGCTGTCTGCAAGCCACTTCGTATGACATTCATGACCACAAATGTCGTTTGGGGTCTCATGACACGATTGAATTATTGGTATCAAACTGTTTCAGCATAGGTACCAGTAAAACGCCCTTTGGGCATTAAACGAGCGAGCGAAAGGGCGAGCCTTGCACGTGTGGCATTGCGGGGGATACTTCCAACTGACTTGTGCACTGCACCCTACTAGCCGGTTTCTAGCGTTGTGCCAAATGTGAGTCCAATCGGCCCAGCCGTTCTAGAGATCTGGAAGCGGCACCATGCACGTGCGCACGTGCCAACTGGGCCCCCAACTCCCAACTGACTTTTGCACGGCACCCTACTAACTGGTCCCTAACCGTGTACCAAATTTGAGCGTAATCAGTCCAGCCGTTCTCGAGATCTGGAATCGATCCCTGCACGTGCGCACGTGCAGCAGCACCCCAACTGTGGCAGATGGAAAGACATTGTCTAGTGGGTGCCTACTTGTATGCTAAGTTTCAGCGTATTCGGCCCAGTAGTCACCGAGATATTGCAATGCTACAAAAGTGACACCTCTTCGTTTTGCACGTTGCACGTGCATAAGGGGTCACCCATATGTATCGAAAATAGTCCAATTCTCGGTGGAAGGAATGAAGCTACCCTACAAAAATTACCGCGAGCAAATCGGTCCAGTGGTTGTGGAAATATAAGCTTCACAAAAGAGTATAGTCGCAAATCACAAAATACCTCACGCAATTTGCAACGTGTCATCGAAACATGCTGCAATGTGGAAGTGACCAGCCGCGAACCCGGGACCTTTGAATTGCGAGGCGAGTTCGCTAACCATTAGGCCAAGAAAAGAAGAGGAGGGCGCCATTTGTTTATGTCGTTGCCATGGCGACGACGCCGTACGGCGCCGATGCGGCAAGCTTGCGGCAGCCGCATCTCGCCGCATCTCGGTGCATCCTGCCGCATTGAGCCGTATCGTGACGTGCCGCACCGCATCGCGACGTGCCGCATCATGCCGCACCGCGCCGCACCGCAACCGTACCGCATGAAAAACGCACTCGTGTGGGGCGGCCCTAAAGCCACACTCATAAAGCAGTTATTTTTAAATTATATGTACCAGAAATAACATACTAACCATAGTTTAAAACTTAGTCTCAAGTTAGTTGAAAAGTGTATAGTTGATACTAAGATGGAAGGAGTCAATGACAGGCAAAAATGGCGCAGCTGTTCCATTCTCAAAACGTGTTCGCCAACAGGACTTACGTGACGCTAGTGACATCTATTAATGTAGGCTGGGACGCTGATTGGCTTATCGAGTCCGTGAGCAGTATCACGAACTTACGCCAGTACAGGATGGAGGCAATGTGCGCATGCGCAAAAACTTGTGCTCTCATGGAGGGGCTTTTGGTACCTCGGGCAGCGCCCAATGGTTTTTGGACCTGTTATGGCCTCCGCATCGAAAAACGCTAGATAAAAAGGTTGTAGAGGAAGCTTGAGGCTACCTTTGCTCACAATAACATTGGCACTTTATCTTTTAACTTACGTGTGAGGCTCGCTTGAAAAAGGTCGATTTAACATGGAAACCCTATGGGGTAGTAGTTTTTGAGCGCCCATTTGGCCTAATGCTACCAAATGTTACTGGCTACCCCTGATCGGCCCCATAACCTTGGAAAATTCAGGAATATTGGAGAAGGGCTGCTGCGGTGATAGTGTGACACATTTGGATATTTTGGGTTTATTCTTCGTCCAGCTTGCTTCATTTGGTAAGTACTTTTATTGGTGTGCTCTACTTTCTATCCGAATTCAGTCGAATGCTGAGCTTTTGTATTTCCTGCATCATCTTCTGTTGTAAGAGTTGACACATCGAAGGAGCAGAGCAGTAGGCGGAACTATGGTCAAGCGTGCCCATATTTGGGAACGCATTTTCGTTCCCATGTTTGGGAACGATAAACCCAAATATGGGAACGCCATATAGGCATTGTTTTAAACAAGAAGAAGAACCGTTAAATGACCTACAAAAAATATAAAACAATCGTGAACCGCCTGATATTTGTCTCAATATTGTTGGGAAAGAGTTTGATATTGTAAGGCCCATCATATCTTCAAATCGTTCCTCTTTTTCTAAAGCAGTCCACCACCCGGGCCGCGTGCCCAAATTTGGGAACGCTCTCATACACTGGCGCTGCAAGCGTTCCTTATTATAGGAACGGCGTACCAAAAATTGGGAACGATTTCACCGATGCCTTTCACGGGCTCTTTTCATTAGCAAGCATCACGTCCAACGCCGCAAGTTATTGTTAACGCCACAATCATAAGATGACCTTTCCGGCAAGACCTCCGCATACTTCGCCGGGTCTTCTGCGCTCTTATTCCCGTCGATCCCGCAGCGGGCACGCCCCCCTCTGCAGGATTACCTACGTAATTCACAACGCTCAGCGACGTTCAACAAGGTCTTCCATGCCTATATCCACCGTCCGCGCCGAGGGTGGAGGCATGTAAAGCACCTGTCTGTTTAACACTGATAGTTGACGAGCACAAGTAAGTATCCAAAAATGGGAATGCTGAAATGTTTCACTCTCAAAACACCTGGTCCCAATAAAAATCTACTTTTTTCCTTTCTTAATGAGTGTAAGTGGCAAAACGCCTGGTAGGATGGGCACGAGAAATGATCAAAATCAGCATAAAAATTATAAATAAGCCACACAGGGCGACCTGTATAAAAGAAATTCGGGGGGCGGGGGGGGGGGGGCGGTTGCCCCCTGACCGATAGCTTGGGAACGGCTGATCGGAGCCAGACTTGCAATGCGGTCGAGCAGACAATCCTAATTAGTAATGCAAATTATCATCGGGATGCTTGGGGGGGGGGGTGCGTGGGGGGGATTGCCCCTTGACCGATAGCTCGGGAACGGCTGATCGGAGCCAGGCATGCAAGGGGGCACTGGAAAGCGTTAGAGTAGACAAGCCTGATTAGCAATCGGCAAACTATCATCGGGATACTAGGGGGAGGTGTGTGGGTGTGGGGGGGGGGGGGTGTGTGTGTGTACTAATTAGGATTGTCTACTCGAGGCATGTTATGAGGCATGGATCCTCCAAGCAGCTTTGTGACCCAAGTGGCTTTGACCTGACCTTGACCAAAGGTCAACCTCAACATCCTTCAGGGACTCAGTGTTTAAAGTGAGGTGAGGTGTCTTTCTGCTCCCGGCGTTTTATTTTCCGGGTGGGTTAAGCCCGTCCAGCGTTTAGCCCTCGGGACCCATTCAGGGTCGCAGTTATTTTCGCCGATCGCCCCAGTCGAGATGCAAAGTTAATAGTCACGAAGCTTATTTAGGGCCAGTCAAACCAGCCTAGTCCGGAGTTACTGTTAAATATGCATATAGACGAAAGAAAAAAATATGTAGAATAGATGAATTTCGAAGTCGTATAATCCTAGGCCCCAAATAAACTTCGTGTGACATTTAACTTTGCATCTCGAATGGACCGAGCAGCGAAAACAACCGCGGCTCTGAGCGGGTCCCGAAAGGCTAAGCGTTAGACGGGGTTATCCCGCCCGGATAATTAAACGCCGGGACCAGAAAGAGATCTCATTTCCAGCACTGCAGGGTCTGACTCTAACCCAATAAAAAGTATATAATTTGAATTTTGATAACTCTGGCCACGACAAGAACGATGGTGCCACAACCACCGCTCTGTCGCTGTTTGTGGCGAAGTTTTTAAGTCAAATATCAAACCCCTACTTTGGTACATACACTTGACCTGATCTCGGGGGTCACCGGTTGGCCTAAGACCCTAAAATTGGACACCAGTTGCTGTTTGTGATGACACACCGCACATGCTCGCTTCTCGCAGTGTTCTAGCACAATTAGGAGCGAAACGGCTAGGGAGGGGGTCTTATCCACCCCCTCTTCACTGTGATCGTGAACAGTTCATATGAATGTTCATGAACTGTTCATTGTTCACTAAAATTTGGCTGATGAAGTCACTTGTTGGTGAACAGTTTGTTAATGTTTTTTTTTATTTTAAAGATTAAATAAACACCAAATTTTGGGGTGGGTAGGTATCTACCCACACAATCACATAGTATAGCTCAGCCTTAAGTAACTATGGATGAAAATGTTTGCACAAATTGTCTGTTTGTGACAAAATTGAACCGTTACATGGACTCATAGGATCAACGTAACATTAACGTGAATGTTTTTGTTTGTGCTGCAGAGTAAGTAAATCAAATCGCCTTGTTTGTTGCAGGTATCTGCGAATCTGGTCATGAATAGCCAGTACCCGGGTTACGGCTCGGAGGGCGGTCCTCCGCCCTACCCAGGTGCACAAGGCGGATACCCACCTCAGGGTGGATACCCACCACAGGGCTACCCAGGCCCCTACCAGCAGCCGGGGTACCCGCAGCAGAGCGGCGGCTACCCGCAGCCCGGCTACCCGCAGCCGGGAGGCTACCCTCCGCAGCAGGGAGGCTATGGACCGCCGCAAGGCGGAATGGGAATGCCGTTCATGCCCAGGGTGAGTAATGATACAGTGTTGTTACACCGACTGTTCAGATGAGTACTGTCTCTCCTCAAGTCTTCCAAGCTCCCCTTACCTATGGCTGTTGAAAAAAAAAAAATACTAAGGTCACCCATCCAACCTCCTCAAGGTCCTTTAGCCAGCTGTTTTTAAAACCGTTTGCCACTTCCAACCTCCTCAAATCTCATCAGTATGTGGCAAACTTCAAGTCGCCTTCAACCTCCTCCGGCTCCTCTCAATTAACATTGAGGAGGATCTCTGCAGGAGAGTAGGAACGCAGGCACTGATGTAATGCTAGCAGAATTATTTATAATGTAATGCTCGAGTAGTTTTAAAATGTTGATTGCTGTGGGATAAAGAAAAATAGCCAACTTTTTGTTCAAAGAATTAGTAGGTATTTTTCCAGTAGTTGTTGAAATTGAAAATAGTTTTCCATTTCAATATGGGCCTTTATACCTTTTTCTTGATTGCATTATTGTATTTTTCATTGACTCACCTTTTATGAGGGGTCATGATGTCATATAGAATTGTGTATGTAGGTATGGTTTGTGCGTATGAGCTATATAACTATGTTCTAGTTACGTGTGTACTCGAATGTGTGTGTATGCTCGTCACATGGATGCGTTTGTATTTTGATAAATTTAATAACCATGCTGAAATATGTTGACCAAATGGGCGGAATGTGAAGTGGCGCAAGTTACTGCAAGAAAGAGACAGATACAATGATTGAAGATATGATTATATGAAGTATAGAAATTGCATATAGCTGAGTCAGCTGATGGCGGTGCCAATCTGAAGTCGGCTTTAGAATAGGCTCAAAGATATGGAGGTGGCCCTAAAACAAAAATGTTGAAATCTGACGATGTATTTACCAGCCCGTAAATCGAAGTCTCTTATCCGTCTGACGTCAATGACTGATATGAAGACAAATTCCATTTTGCACTAACTGCATTGTTCGTGCGTCCGACCGACAGCCGTGGCCCGAGCCCCGGAGAAAACGGACCAGCTCACCGCCCGGTGGCCCGTCGCGGAAGCGGCACGCCGACGAGGAGTCGATGATAGGAGGCCTGCAGAACCTCTCTCTGAGTAGCCTGCGCACACAGCAGAAGTCGCGCTTCGAGAGGTGGCAGGAGCTCGAGGCGCGCCTCTCAGAGCAGCTCTCCGACGAGGAGGAGGACCACCACCAGAAGACGCAGCCTCGCGTGGTGTTCTCGGAGCAGCTGGAGAGGATCGTCAACTCTCCGGCGCCCGATATCATACCCGTCTCCAGACCGGACGACACGTGCACCGCGCTGGTGCTGTGGCGTCCGCCGGCCGTCCCCGTGTCAGAGGCCGACGAGCAGCCACCAGTGAGCCCTCCCCGCCAACCGAGCCCGCCGCCCGTGCCGCCCCAACAGACCGCCTACGACTTCTCGCCGTTCGGCGCGCCTACCACAGGCGGGCCGGCGTGCGCGTTCAGTGTGCCGGGTACTCCGGCGCCCCCCTCCACACTGTTCCGGTTCGGAGGAGGGGATCCGGTCACCTCATCACCCTTTAATTTTGGAGGCACGACTTACGGTGGAGATGGCATGTCAGCACCAAAAGTGCCCTCCAGTTGCTTGGATGTTCCGCTTCCCCCATCAACGGACGACGAGGCGATGGAATTGTGAGAGCGGGTGTGTGTCTGTAATATCCGGCAGTCAGGGCCAAAAGCTGACTAATCTGATGGCCCACAGTGCTAATCAAGTGACTACCGTGGGGCTAACTATGTTCGCTATCGACAGTCAGCGGTAATGCGCTTTTTAGCCGCGACTGTTCGCGCATTATTGCAATTGCTATGTATGTTTTATTCCGCTGCGCATTTTGGCAACACATTGCTCGCTTTGTATTTGGCTTTTGCGTTTTTGCCTAGACGCTCTTTGATGTCGCCTCATGATGACTTAAGATGTCGCTCAAATGTCAGGAATAAATACAAGAGTGCAATTAAATTCATTTTCCTTCAAAGGAAACCACCTCGTGGCGGCGTTCCATCTGGGATTCCTCCAACAGATGTGTCTCGCCGAGCTTTCGAGCCTGCTTGCGGTCCCTGTGAACCTCACTCTCTGATCACCAACTGGGGATTATATGTTATGAAACGGATTTTAGTAGTCGATATCCAACTGATAAAATGACTCGCGGGAGATTATGGTGCTCGAGAGATGCTGTATGGAATGAATACAAACCGCCACGGTAACTAACGGCTAAGAATCGAGCATAAAGTTGTTTTAAAATATTTGACTTTGACAATTGACGGGCAGCGACTGACGATCGCCGAGCCGTGGACAAGAAACGCCACGAAAAAGTGAGCTGACAGACACTAATTTCCAGCCCGGCTGTTCGGCCGCCGGAGGTCGAGCATAGTGCGCTGTGTCGCCGCTCCCGCGGGACCGCTCGTGGTGCGCAATGCACCCAGTGGCCGACACTGTCTGGGCGTCCGGCGATCGATAGACGACTGTCTGCTGGATACAAGAGAGTCCCAACTCGGCCGCCAGCTACCGTTTGCGTGGCCGACCACTCGTTTGGTGGTTAACTGACGACATTGATAATATCACATACTTCCCAATGAGACATATCACACACACGCCAATACACGTCATTCACCGTAAATTGAAGCTTTGCGTATCACTCAGGAACAAGTTGCTCTTGCTTTAGTTTGCATGATCCGGCTATTATTCTGCAGTAGGGTCCATCTCCATCTCTTTCCACGCAAACCAATCATTACCACTCTCGTGCGCCACGTAAACTCGAACTCATTTCTTTCATCGCGATCTACGACATAGGACATAGTTGGACATAGGATAACAAACATCGTTGATAATGCCGGGCATGTGATTGTTCAAATTTACCGGAAGTTCGACGATGTCGGAGAAAGCAAGGCAGACTCGCGGTGGTCAGTGGTCACCGGTCACACGTTACCCGTGTCTAGGTCATCTGTGTGCGGTGCTGCAAAATGATTTCAGTGTAACTTCACCCCGCTTTATGAAGTAATGAAAGACCTGCCACGTTGTGGCAAACCATCCCTGCTGCAATACATCATGCATCCCTACATTTGTGCTCGAAATTAACGCTTACGAATTCAGCACTACATTAAGTTTTCGATCTACATTAACCCTCGCCCCGTTGGGGGGGGGGGGGGGGGGCAATTTGGCCCCCCCTGTGGTTTTTCCTGAATAGCAACGCCAAATTTTCAGTACCTTCCCGGGCATCAATTTGACACCTTCACACCGAATTTCAAGTCTTAGGTCACCTCAGGTCAGGAGTTATTGAGGTCAAACTGAGGTCATGTTCGAGCAAAAATGAGCAAAAAACATGCAATCTTGAAACGCTCACCAAATTTACAGTTACCAAGCAATTTCAAAGTTCTTTATATGGTCTAGTAGACAACAAGCGGTGCTACAAAACTGCTATCTCGGATTTTCAAAATTTTGGGTTTTTGACCCCCAAAAACTCAAAAAATTGATTTTTTGAGAAAAACAAAAAAAAATCCAAAAAAAATTCCGAATTTCGAAAAACCGGAATATATATGATAGTGCCTGTGCTCTTCTATATACATACCAAATTTCAGATCGACATCTCGTTTTTTGGCCAAGTTATAGCGAAAAAAACTGTTCAAAAATGATGACGTCAAGTTTTTGAACTCAATTTTTAGCGATTCTAGACCACGTAGGGCAAAACAAAGACCACCATTGAACTCCCCGTGACGAGCTGCATCGAATCGACACCCATTTTATGCAAAAATATCAACTTTAAAATTTGACTTAATTTGACCTGACCTTGACCTGACCTTGACCTGACCTTGACCTGACCTTGACCAAAACGTGACCTAAGCTGGCCCAAAAGTCTGCCTGACCCACATAATCGCATTTGTCATGTAAAATGGACCATAAAACATCTATCACACGAGACTTTCATATTGTGACCCCCCAGTGACCTGATCTCTGTGACCTGACGTGGTATCAGTGACCTCAAATAGCAAAATATGTGTTTGAAGAACATTTCCCCATGGATGATTTTCAATGAAATGCATTTTACTCGATTTTACAACGCATTTCTTGAAATGCCTGTAAACGGTGAAAATTCGACCTTTGACCCGACCTGTGACGTCATCGGTTTGACCTAGGTCAATAAAATTGGGTCACAAGGTAGTTCCCTGATAGAGCTATCCAACACCGTTTGCCGCTTGTCGCTAGGTTGCGTGGTTCTCTTCTCGAGATCTTAGGGGGGGGGCAAATTGCCCCCCCCCCCCCAACGGGGCGCGTTGCTCGGCAGAGCCCAACGGGGCGCGGGTTAAAGGGACTATCCCACCTTTAACATGGGGTTTGAGTTGAGATAGCCAAGTTTGCGGCGAGGTTCAGAAACCACTATCTATCTAGGTTGCAACCCCCGCGGCCTCTTGGTGTTGAAGAAATTCGTTCCCTTCATTTGAAAATGGGCCTTGCGCAAGGCCCTATCTTCAACATGGAGCGACCGTTAGTGTGACGTCACCTCGTTTAGTCATTCTGATTTGAATGGGTTTGTTCGTTGAAAAATTGCTTAAAACTTAGTATGAACTTTGTTGTGGTGCCTACAGAGTAAAAAGAATCAGCTTTATGACAGTAATGTGGCCTGGGGAAGGAGGTAATTTTGGGCTGTGACGTCACATATTTGAAAGTTTGTGTTTGGAATATGGGAAGCCTAAGATGTTTAATGAAAAATAAATGCCAGAACCGTGTTCCTGGTCATCCAATCTATAAAGTCGGGCACAATTTAACTGGTTTTAACAACATTTTAGAAGGTGGGATAGTCCCTTTAAGTGTCCATAAGTGTTCGATCGCGCTCTTACCAGTTTCCGGCACGGGCCCGGATATGACTGAGCTATCCGCACTCCGAGTGCGGCAACTGGGAGAACATCCGGGCATACACTGACTTCCCACCCATTTACCGACCATCTCGCGATTGGGCAAGCACACACTTCGCCACGGTAAAATCCACCGGAGGGATGATGCAGCAGTTCTGCCAGAGACCGTCAGCCTTGAGTCATCGTTCGCTCCTTGTTTCTGGAACTGTTTGCATTGTGTGCCGTCACATTTCTGCATTTGCGCCGACCTTAGCCGCCTATCATAATCCTTCAGTTATATTCCTCTCGCCAATGTGGGTATTTATCCGTGGTGCGCCTGCTTTATCGGTACGATAATGGGTAGGATTAAATGTGATTTCGCGCTGCTATCGCTGCCCGATCGTAAGCCGATCGTCCTCTGGTGGTTCCCCGTGTTCAGAGTGACACTCACCACACTCGGTCGGTTGGGCGACAAGTACAGACTCACACCACACACTTTGACACATTGGTACCTAGAGCAACATAAAGCACAACACACCGACACACCACATGAACCCTTACCACCAGCTGACTGGACTGGAGCCGCCCGGCGTCCTGGAGCCCTGCCGGTCCAGGGGCTTGCTCGGCGGGCTGCTGCGGGGTCGGTATACTGGCTGACCCCAGTTGCGCGATCACCGTCAGTTTTGTTTTTATTTTGAAGAGGTGCTTTAATATAGTTAATGTTTTGCGCCGATCCATCACTGAAGTTGTTAATTGTTTTGTTTTTTTTTATTCTGAATGATATGAACTGAACTGAACTGAACTGCCACTCGGCGTCTTCTCAGATGGACCATGGTCAGGCGGACGTGCATGTCACCACCAACGATGACCCAAAGGACGACGACGTGGCCGGCTTCGGCTCCAGCTTCTCCAGCAAGGCCATCCGACACGCTTTCATCCGCAAGGTGTACCTGATCCTGACGCTGCAGCTCAGCTTCACACTGGGCATGGTGGCGCTCTTCACACTACAGTGAGTGGTAGCAGTAGTGTCATGAAGCCCTGGAGCTAGGGTCTCCGTGGCGTTTCCAGTAGTCGCACCCTAAAGCCCCAATAAACAAACAAACAGGCGTTTCTCCAACGAAAAGTTTTTTTTTACAATTATTCGGTTATGAGTTTTGTCATGTCATGGTGCGAAATTTGTCGAGCAAAATGTATGCCGATTCTGAAGTTTCTTCAGCGTTCAGTCACCACCGTTTCCGAAATTGACTTCCATGTTGTCCTGAGTGACCACTGCTGACTGTCGCGTCTTTTCATTTCAGTCATGACGTGAAGCTGTTTGTGCAGCGCCACCAGTACATCTACTGGGCCTCGTACGGCGTGTTCCTGGTGACCTACATCACCCTGATGTGCTGCGGCAGTGTCCGCAGGAAGCACCCCTGGAACCTCATCCTGCTGACACTCTTCGTGAGTAGCAGCAGCTCTGGCAGGCGAAGCTGACGGTAGAATATCCGGCCGTGATGGAACGCGCATCTGATGCATCCCGAGATTCTTACTCGTATACGAGATCTAACTATTTAAGGCAACCATGAATAAGACGATAGAATGTGGCACATATCAGAGAGAACCCGTTCCCTTGTTCAAAATTTAATTTCATTTGTCGTTCACCAATTTTTTTTCTATTTATTTATTTATTTAGGCTCGTTACAACATCCACTTAGTGGCTTTTACGTTGTAGTGTCAGTATACATGAAAATCATCTCACATCTCGGGCATAGATAAAAAGACAAAAAGAAAAGTAAAATACAAGAACACGATAAGAATATTAAAATACCACGATAACAGCATCTATAAAATGTTGAGGTAAGCTAAATCACCATCCAATAGGTACATGAAATATATGTAAAAGATGACAGTAAATGGAGCGGTACTAATCACACTAACGCATTCTCTCTGATGTTCTTCCTGCACTGCCTAACGGTCGTCGCCTCCCGGACAGCTGGTGGCGCTCCATTCCAGCTAGCCACGGCGCGGTAGGTAAAGAAGCGCCGGGCACGTTCAGTGCGCACCTTGGGTAGCTGGAGCTGCCCAGCTTCAACGGCCCGGGTGCTGCGTGCTGATATGTCTGCGCGGGACTCGACAAGAGTTTTTAGATTTGCGGAATAAGTTCCGTCTTTTAGAATCTTATGAATCGTGAGAATATCCTTTTCCACAATAAGTTTGTCTAAATTTTGCCAATTAAGCTCAGCGAACAACGGTGTGACGTGCACGTTGCGCCGTGATGAGGTAGTGATTTGGGCAGCATGATTCAGCACCTTCTGGACTCGTTTCCGCTGGACATCCCTGCACCCACCCCAAACAGTAAGGCAATACGCTATATGTGGAAAGACCAGAGCCTCAACAATGAACTTTTTTACTGCGGTGGGTAAAGAATGGGAAAATTTCGCCAGCCCTGCCAAAGTTGCGTATGATCTCCGGATCACCATCGAGACATGGTCCTCCCACTTCAGCTCGGGGTCCAATGTGACGCCTAACACTTTCATCTTGATTGCTGGCCGCACCTGCGCACCAGCAAAGTTCACCATAATGTCGCCACCAATGCCTTGTTTTGGCATGCCAAAAAGTATCATTTCGGTTTTAGCCGGATTAATTTTAAGTCCGTTTTGGTCATACCAGTTCTGAACGATGGAGAGCATATCCTCCACTTTGTGTTTATGACTATTCATATCGTTTTTGTTGAAACTGTTGAGAAATTGCGAGTCATCGGCATACATTACAATTTTATCGCAAACGACATGGGAAGCGACATCATTAGTGAATAACGAGAACAAGATTGCTCCCAAAGTGCTCCCCTGTACCACGCCATGGGTGACAGGAAGGAGGTGTGACCCCCCTTTTACTATCTGACGCCTACCGTCAAGCCAGTCGGAAAACCAGTGCCCATCCACACCGTGCCAACCTAGTTTATCCATGAGTCTGCCATGCTCGACGCTGTCAAAGGCTTTGGAGATATCGGCCGCAATATTTGACACCACTTTCCCCTTGTCAGTTTCCGATATTATTACTCTGTAGGCACCACAACAAAGTTCAGACCCAGTTTTAAGCGATTTTTCAACGAACAAACCCATTTAAATCAGAATGACTAAACGAGGTGACGTCACACTAACGGTCGCTCCATGTTGAAGATAGATATTTATTATTCTGTCTCAGTCTAGTCATTTAGGACGAACGCTAGCTATCAGTTGCGAGTAACAACTTTTTTGCATTGTACATTTTGTCACAACTCAGTCGTGTTAAAGGGACTATCCCACCTTTAACATGGGGTTTGAGTTGAGATAGCCAAGTTTGCGGCGAGGTTCAGAAACCACTATCTATCTAGGTTTCAACCCCCGCGGCCTCTTGGTGTTGAAGAAATTCGTTCCCTTCATTTGAAAATGGGCCTTGCGCAAGGCCCTATCTTCAACATGGAGCGACCGTTAGTGTGACGTCACCTCGTTTAGTCATTCTGATTTAAATGGGTTTGTTCGTTGAAAAATCGCTTAAAACTGGGTCTGAACTTTGTTGTGGTGCCTACAGAGTAAAAAGAATAAGCTTTATGACAGTAATGTGGCCTGGGGAAAGAGGTAATTTTGGGCTGTGACGTCACATATTTGAAAGTTTGTGTTTGGAACATGGGAAGCCTAAGATGTTTAATGAAAAATAAATGCCAGAACCGTGTTCCTGGTCATCCAATCTATAAAGTCGGGCACAATTTAACTGGTTTTAACAACATTTTAGAAGGTGGGATAGTCCCTTTAATGACGCGTCGTGCAGTCCTTTTCCCTTGATGTGTTGGCGCAGCGTTTGATGGCCGTCCTCTCCCCCGCTCTACCGACAGACGGCTGCGTTCACCTACATGGTGGCCATGATCTCGTCCTTCTACAACACTTACATCGTGCTGCTGGCCGTGGGGCTCACGGCCGGCATCTGCCTGCTGCTCACACTGTTCGCCGTGCAGACCAAGTACGACTTCACCGGCTGTGGCATGTTCCTCTGCGTGGCCAGTCTGGTGGTCGTCCTCTTCGGCATCGTGGCACTTATTATCGGCATGTTCACGCCCATCCCGATCCTGCAGCTGGTCTACGCCGGCCTGATCGCACTGCTCTTCTCCATGGTGAGTTGTAGTCACGGGCGGGGAAAACCCTGACCTCGTCATGGTCAGTCGCAGAAGCGCGGAGCGGGGCTGGGAAGGGGAACTACCTCATCTCCATTTCCAGCCCCGGTGACGGACGAGGTATGCTGAATAAGAGACGGGCAGCAGCCGATCGATCAGATTCGTTCGGTTATTTGTCGTATCATCTATGGAACCGGTGGCATTTTTATAACGTCACTGGCCAGGTCCGTTCATAACGCGTTCGTTTTCAACCATTCCACCTCTGTCTCTACGATTGTGGGTTTGCTGCAGCTACTATAATGTAAATCATCATTGCGTTAGGCAAGGCTCACCTCTGCGGCGATGACGCGTCTGTGCCTGTTCAGGTGTTATCTCTGACGTGCTGTATGACTCAGCGGTGTGAGTCACCCCCTCACCGTCTCTGTTCCCCCCGCAGTATCTGGTGTACGACACACAGCAGATCGTGGGCGGGCGCAAACACGAGATCAGCGCTGAGGAGCACATCTACGGAGCCATCGTGCTCTACATCGACATCATGCAGATCTTCCTGGCTCTACTGCAGCTGGTGGGGTCCTCGGACAACTGAGACTGCTGCTGCCACCTCCAGGAAAAGGTCGCAACTATACTTTCACCGCGCCCACTTGGCGGAGTGTGAACATTTCCGTACACTTTCTCTCTGGCAGCGGCCAGCACTTAAAGGATATTCCTGTATGTTTTGGTTTTTGGCTTTACTTGCTACTTCTTGGGTGTTAATATTTACTATGGTTAGTTAAAATCACTCTGCAATAGTGTCATCACCGAGTGTCTTGTGAACTAAGAAGATCGCATATTTTATTAATGTATTAGAGTAGTTGTAGGGTTAAGACTTACATACATGTTAGATCCCTAAATTAATTGATTATCTAAAAGTCAGCCCAAATTTCGGTTGCTTGATTTCCTCTACTCTGGATCTATAAATTTCCAGGCTAAATTATCAGGATTGCTGAAAAAGAGCAGCACATTTTTCGAGCGCATCTAAATTGATATAGTTTTGTGTAGCCTGGTACTCTGGTGTTAGCTGTTGTACTTTTGTTCGTGTTGTAGTGTAATGTATATTATCCATGGGATATTATCCATGGGCTTGGCGTGCATTGCTTACCTCGATCGGCGCACTACATAGATGACGTAATTAGCCCCTCGGCGGTCCTGACGCCTCAGACGTCGGCTTCGAACGCTCTGCTGCTGCAGTGTCGTCCGTGTCTAGAAATACTTCACACTCACACACCTATCACAGTGTTGTGTTCGGCGATGCGGACTCGCGCCGCGGCCGTGTCAGTGTTGTGTTACTGTGATGTGGCCGTCGAGAGGGTCTCGATGCTGAGCCTGTAGCACTCTACTGTAGCTCGAGTGCCATCCGCTGGATGGGGTGCTGGATCGGGAAACAGCAGCGAAAGGAAGGACGTGGCTGGTCAATTTAACCAAGGACTGCAGAGAAATGAGTCATGGATTAATGTTTCGAGTCGGACAGCGACTGGCCAAGATGAAAGAAACGAATTATCATGGGCCGGTTGAAGCAGTGCCACGCACACTGATCGCTGATTGGCTGGCTGGATCCGCCGACGTCGCTGATTGGCTGGCTGGATCCGCCGACGTCGCTGATTGGCTGGCTGGATGTGTCGGCGTCGCTGGTTGGCTGGCTGGATGTGTCGGCGTCGCTGGTTGGCGGGCTGGATGTGTCGGCGTCGCTGGTTGGCTGGCTGGATGTGTCGGCGTCGCTGGTTGGCGGGCTGGATGTGTCAGCGTCGCTGGTTGGATGTCGCCGTCGCCGACTGTCTCAGGGGCCTCCCGTGGCCTCCTATCGTTCTGTTTTATGTCGTTGGCTCTGTGTTGGGTCGCCAGCCGTCGGCCTCTGTAGGATCCGTCTGTCTGTGCATTTGATGTGCTGCCAGTAGATACGAACGGTTTGAAGTCCACATACTGAACGCTGAAAATACTGCGGTCATCCTCCGTCAGGACTGGTGTCGATTTCGTGTCTGCCCGTGAACTTGTCTCGAATGGGCCTCCAAACGGAGCTGCATCATGGGCAGATTTTTTTAAGGCCAAATCACTGTTGACGCTCTGAATTCCTATAAGTTAAAATATCCAACTTAGTCTCATCGCCTCACCGATGGCCTTATGCTAAAGCTAAATTTTAGATCATCTCATTATGACTTTCTGCTTCGCTGATAATTGTGTCTCGTAGTAAAACGTATCGTGGTAAAACATAACAATAGTTTCAAAATACACGTTTAACTACTTCGATGTTTTGCTCATAATTGGTGGTTTTACACAGATAGTTGATGTGTGCTTGTGCTGTCACACATCCCCTTCTGTCGTGTTAACTTGTAAGTCAATGCTGGTATGTTGGTGTTTTACTAGGTCGAGTTTGTTGGTGGTGGTGGGTGGGGGGGGGGGGGGCGGGGGCGGCTTAATGTTTAAAACGTGGGCGTCGTGTTATACATCTAGGCCTGGTAGGGCCTGGCAGTAGCGGCGGAACACCTTCAATTAAGGGGGGCACTGCCGACTTTTGGTCCCATTCTTTCCATGCAACGCCCTTAGGGCTAATGTTAAAATGCCAAAATCAAAGGGGGGCACGGTGCCCCGGTGCCCTCCCCGTTCCGCCGCCTATGGGGCCCGGGCCCTGCTAACCATTTTTGTATCTCAGTATCACCTCTTTTCCTTTGCCTGGCTAGAGTACCTTTGACATGAAATTAACCAGCAAAGCTTTACTTTTTTTTAAGTGACTCCCGATGTTTGAAGTCAAGAACTGCATTCTCTCGCGGAGTGACTACATAGGTGCCTTGGTACGAACTCGTAGTCTTATGGAACCTTGTGCACTGTTAATGTCACATGGTTTTAGCTCAGGCTAATCAAAACATGTTTCGTAA